AGACGTACCAATATTGAAGTGTTGTTGCCGTTCAACTGGTTGGAAGTTTTACCAAATGGTTCTAATGGCTCAGCTAGACCAGTTGAATTCTAACTGGCCTGGATCAACTGGATCATTTAGCCCATTTCAATTTTCAGGTTTACCAGTTGGCATTAACTGGTTCATCAACTGGACCAGTTGCAACTAGCTTTCTCTCCTGGGATGTTTGCACTCTCTCCTCCCCCCCCCCCCCACCCCCTCTAATCCTAAACTGCTTCCGGCGCGCCTGGACGTAATTATGGAAGATCCAAGACACGATGTTCAGAAACGGGATGAGAATAAGAATAAATTCATTTATTGTGTAACATTTGCGTAATTATTGGGTTGAACGCGGGTTATAGTAACATATTTCCTCTTCGACGTAAATTTCACGTGAATGAAGAACATGATTTATCTCAGGTCTGCCTCGTAATATTCACGTGAATTTCACGCAGATATTTTGACTAAAACTATCACTAACGCTTCACGTGTTTCTGTGACGCGATAATTTCGTTTATGAAGATGTAATTTCTAACCAAACAAAAACGGGAGTATTAGGTTTACAAACCATGGTCTCCAAGGTAGGGATAATCACGTTATTATAATGGTGATATTGCAGTGACAATTGCGTGATTTAGTGCACGTGTGTTTTAAGTGACCTAGTGCAATAAACGTATTAACACATTTACGTAAATGTCAGGTGTTTGAAAAACGTAACTCTCCTCAAGTCGATACCTTGATATTGACGTGATTTTCACGTGATTTTGTTTATTGGGTATACATAATTAATTCGGATATATATCAAAATACACACACCTACTTCAAGCACTCTACCAACAATCAAACAATGCAGTCAGAGTGAATGGTGAACTGACCGACTGGTTTAAAACCACAGTTGGGGTACGCCAAGGATGTGCCCTTTCCCGAAAACTTTTTAACATCTTACTCAAAGCTGTGATGCTTTACGCAATACATGACACCAAGATCGGCGTAAGAGTACAGGGACAGCTGATCACCAACCTAAGATTTGCTGATGACGTAGTCCTTATAGCTGACAATGACAGAGACCTCCAAACAATAGTTGACCTAGTACATCATAGCATCTCAAACTTTGGACTGAAAATAAACATTACCAAAACAGAGTTACAAGCCATAAGCAAACAACCTCAACTATTGAATATAAACGTTGTAGGAGAACAGCTAAAACAAGTAGATAAGTTCACGTACCTGGTAGGAACAATAAGCCAGACAGGATCCTGCTCGGAAGAGGTAAAGCACCGCATTGGGAAGGCAATAGGAGCATTCCAAGCACTCAAGAAAATCTGGACATCAAAAGATATACGCTGCTCAACAAAGGTAGAACTGTACAAAGTCCTGGTGTTGTCTATTCTGTTATATTTTGCAGAAACATGGACATTAAAGAAGATCGACGGAAATAGACTTCACACTTTTGAGATGGCATGCCTCAGGAGAATCATGGGTGTGACCAGATTTGACAGGCTAAGGAACACACATATACGAACACAACTAAATATGGAAGAAACCATCATCGACAGGGTTGCCACAAAAAGACTGAGATCCCAGTGATGGTGTGGACGGCTTAAGTCAAGTCAAGTCAATTCGAAGTGATATAGGCTTGTTACTAAATTAATTTGAAACAGTATGTTTTTTTAATGAAATATACAATAGTTGGTTTTCAGATTAAGAATCAATCTTTTAGCTTTAAGCCACTTAACCACGTTATTCACTTCTTCATTAACATTACGTTTCACATTACTAGTATACGATTGATTTAACATAAGAGTCATCGGCGTACATCACAAATTCTAAGTTTTCAGAGGATCTAAATAGATCAATAATATGTATTAAGAACAACAAGGGACATAGGATAGACCCTTAGGGAACTCCACATTTCATAACAGAAAATCGGTTATAGAATATTTAAACACAGTATATTGGAGACGATTGTGTAAATAATCTTTTAAACAATTAAATGGGATCCCACGTATTCCATAAAAACACAATTTTGACAAAAGAATTGAATGATCAACAATATTGAAAGCTTTCGATAGATCCATGAATATATTCCAATACAGAAATTATGTTCAATTGCTTAAGTTATTTCATCCTGTAAATCAATTAAATCATGGATAGTATCATAAAATTGACAATCAGAAGGTACATTATTTTTAGATAGAAATTTATGAACACATTTTTCTAATAGTTTGGATATACAAGGCAATAAAGATATCAGTCGATAATTTTTGAAATGACAATCATCTTTTTTATGGACAGGTATAATTTTTGCAATCTTTAATTTGCCAGGAAAAATACCACTTGATAACAAATTATTAAGAATATTACAAAGGTTTAGTTATTGAATAAATTATCTTTTTAAATACTTTCACTATGAATATGACGGACAAAGAAAGAGGACAAAATATACAGTTCTTCAGGTAGACGAAGGAACATCCCTTCCCTGCTATTATGCAAAAATGTGTAGAACAGGTGTCACATGCATATTCAACTGTTCTACACATTTTTACATAATAGCAGTGAAGGGATGTTGTTTTGTCCACCACAACAATTGTTCAGGGTAGAATGAGGAACTGTATATTTTGTCCTCTTTCTTTGTCCGTCATATTCATAGTGTTTACAACTTATATTATCATAGCCACACGAACAAGTGTTTTTTTAAATAATTTACAAACTTCAAACAATCCATTTTCAGTTTTAGCATGAAAATATAATGTTTCAGATACAGGATCGCACAAATAATCAGTATGGGACAAAGAATCAATTCGAGCAATATTATAATGCAAAGTAGAACAACAAGAACTAAAATATGAAATAAATTCATTTGCGATAGTTCGTTCATTCTGTATCAATTCATCATTATTTACAAAATACGAAGACAATGATGTTATTCTTTTGTTCAATAAAGTCTTCATAATTTTTCTTGTACCATTAACATTACCGTTCATTTCCCCCAAATTGAGCACAATAATAAAAATGTTTTGCTTTAATAAATTATTTGCTCTATTTCGGTATGATTTAAACTTATATTCATTTCCAGGAGACCTATTGCGAATAAATGTTTTGTACAATTTATTTTCTTCTCAAATCTTCTTAATAAATATCCAGGTCTTTTAAATTTATTAGGTACAAGAGGTAAATATTTATCATATAATCTACTTAACAAGATAATTAAAAAAAACATTATACATTTGTTTTGCATCGTAATACATACACAAACATGACCAATCTATATTATTTAACCCCCTTCTCAATGCATTGACAGATTATTGGTGATTTTACGATCATGAGATTATAAGGTTATTATTGTTAAATTATTTAACTAACTCAAATAACGATAATATAGTTAATAGATCTGACTTGTCAGAACATATAGTTCCACTTAATAGTAAACATATTATCACTATTACCTGTAATTCGAGTTAGGATGTATTTAAATTTTGAAGCCCAAACGAGGGGTTCATATTTACAAATTTACAAGCGTCAGAAATAATCACTTGAGCATTATTCAATTTAAGAAGATCTTTATTCAAATCATCGGCTATAACAACATTTCCATGCGATAAAGTACCAAGTGCATCATTATAAAACTGTAAAAATATCAAAATAACAGAGTTAGGTTTTCTGTAAAAAAACCCACCTATTGTATAATTAAAGGTCAATCCAAACATAAGATCTACACATAAATATTCACATAATCATCTTACGAATAAAATAAATCACTGCAAACAGTACAAATAACGCAACACCACCTCCTCTTCCTGAATGTATACAAATGAAACCATCTATTTAAACAAAAATTAACAATTTGGGTATCAAAAATCGAAGTTTCTGATATAGCAATAACAGAGAATTTTGGTGAAAGTGTATTCCCCCAAATGTGAATATTTTCAAAGTTACTAGAGAGACTACGGGCATTAAAATGTATAAAAATAACGTTGATATTATCATTTTGTATATTTTAATTAAGTTCAATGGGAGTGAGACAAGAAATCAATATATCGGGATCAACATCTGATTTAAGATTATTCGAATATCGAAATATCGCATCACAGTACTTATGTATGTGCGTATGGGTATACATGCATATTTACAAATTTGTTTTGTGAGAGTGCATTCATGGGTTTTTATGACATATATTTGAAAAACAACATGAATTACTCTAACTAAACCAATAGCAAATAATTGATTTGTCGTGAAAATTGTACATTAACAAACTATTTACAGGTTAAAAAGTGAAGACAAAACGGGGAAACGGGGGTAAACTTAATGAGAAAACAATATTTCATAAATATTTCATAATTTCATAAGTCCGTGATTATAACAAAATTCTCAAAAATAGAGTTCTTTACAGGAAAAGTTGTACTGTTAAACTAACACGGAATATTGATTGATCTATTCATTTATTCAAACATATTTATACATGATGACAAAGCTGTTTTTCACATTGGTCCTGACATACAGAATAACAATGAAATAAGCCAAACATAAAACATATATAATACATGGATATTAAACAACTTGACATTTTATAGCGATTAGAGACATGGGTGAACATTTATAGATTTACCCAGAATCCTAAAATGACATTATCCAATGATTGGAAACACAGTTAAGAAAGAAAAAATATATAAAAGTGTATACAACAAGATGAATATTAGTGCAATACAAGTACAGATTGTCGTGTTGAAATGTAAAGGTCATGATTTAATTTCTTATTGTACAAAATGGAAATTGGAAGCTACATAATTGTTATGCAACCAAGTATTGTCATCAGGATCGAGATTGACGATCCTGAAACTTCATAGGGTGTGTACATTGCAATACATTTCATCTAACATTATTCTTTCTCATGTGAAGGCAATCGATTTGCCCCCTCCCGTCACATAACATAAAGGGATAAGAGAGAGGGGGTGATCAATAGAGAAGGGTTTGTGTGTGTGTGTGTGTGTGTGTGTGTGTCTGTGTGTGAGAGAGAGATAGAAAAATAGAATAACTTCGTCATTTGATGGCCTTTATTTCTCTTACTTCATACATCGACAACGAGTAAAACCTTTGCATCGATTTGGTTTCGAACCTTTGGCCCCCTTCTGGTTACGAGACCAGTGCTCTACCACTGAGCAAAAGAACGTTTGTTAAATAAATTTCAATTGGCTCTTATATCGAATAATAATAATAATAATAAGCTTTTATATAGCGCTTAATACAAATGTCTAGACTGCATTCTTCATTAATTCTTTTCAAGAGTAGATCATAAATAATACCTTTTCATTATCAGAAAAGATCCAAAATGATATTATACAGTTTCTCTATTCAATTCGTTAATCATAGAGAAATCTTTATTACCTCGATTACGAATCAATATACATTATCTTTTTAGAAGCATGCAGTGATTATACCTGACCACAGAACTGAAAATAATATTTCAAAGTTATGCTCTGTATGTGTGAGTTTGGGAGGTGCATGCGTGTATGTGATGTGTATGCGTGTGTTGGGGTCAAATTCTCATTTTAACCCTAACGATGTTCTCTTTATATTCTTGACAAAGAACGAACTACTTCACTTCCACAAATAAATCATCATCTTGGTGCGGGGGGGGGGGTTGAAGTGTATGCTCTTTTCAATACTTCCTAGTTGAACACTTGACAACTTACAAGTATGTTCAAAGTTTTGACTGAAATTGTATGAGACAAACATAACTATAAAGACGCATGTCACGTTGGATTCGCCAACATATTATAATTATACATTAATCTCGACTAGAAGATTTTTTTTCTTTAACGCACGTCTAGTTATAACCACGCGTCACGACACGCTATCTTTTACAAAGTGTAATACGCTACTTTTTTTAATATGTTACTAAACTGGAATTACATTATTCATTTCCCTGTTAGCCCTCATGCTCTTCTCAAACTTTGCCCAGAAGAATTCTTGTGCATCTTCATCATCATCCACCCACAGCAAGTAAGGTTTGTTCCGACTCAGCAACAGCCGTACAAGATACGGTAGGTGGTCATCATCGATGTCCTCTAGAAATATGAGGATGATCTTCTCCAACTTGGTGTCATTCATATGCTCCACGGCCATACGGAGTTTGGTCATGAACCAGGTATCCTCCACTGACTGGTTGCTAAGCAACAAGACCGTCTTGTAGCTGTTCTCGATGACGTCATAGATGGCGTTTAAATAGAAAGACCCTGGATGAAGACCACTATCCCCAAAAACGATATGCTCCAGGTGTGGCATCCTCCCCTGCAGGAATGGCTTCATGCAATCGTTAATCCACCACTCATCATCTTCACGGAACATGAGGTTAAGCTGATACTCGTAGTCCTCAGGACCTTGATTTTCAATGATTTCTTGATAACCAACGATGGCCAACTTTAAGAGAAATCGTTTGTGGTTCAACCACCATCGCTTTTGGTACACGAGGACACTTAGCGACAGAACGGTCACAATTGCCAAAGATACACCTACAATAAGATAGATATTGACTCCGCAGTAATCTTCAGGATGGAACGACCATATAGTCTGATTATTTAGCGATTTGAAGGAAGTACTAGAGCAACGAGTCTCATTTCTCTGATAGATTGTTGTATTCACCTTGTCCAGCCATTCCCTGAACCACGCAAGTTGGCAGGTACATGTTAATGGATTGTTTGCAATGATTAATACCTTTAGACTTGTTGGTATTAATGTGAAAGGATCGATCGTGGAGATTTGATTATCATGGAGGTATAGACACAGGAGACTGGGAGTTCTAGAAAATAATTGCTTCTCGATAACTGAAATCGAGTTGGAATTTAGTCGCAGGGTACGTAAATTATGTAAATCCTGAAAAGCTTTCTCGGGAATGATTTTAATCGAGTTAAAGCGCAACGAGAGAACTGTTAGTGACGTGAGATTCCTAAATATCCTCGAGTCAATTATAAGTATGCGACAGTCAGTCAGATCTAGCTCACGAAGATTCCAAAGTGTAATAAATGCGTTAGGAACCTGTCGGAAATCATAGAATGAGTTATGTTGCAGTTCAAGGGTGTACAACGAAACCAGTCCTGAAAACAGTGACCTATTGCTTTTAGAATGGACTAGATCTTCGGCTATGATTTTAGTTTGGGATAAGATTAGAGTTCTCAGAGCCGACGTATGACTAAACTGGCCATCGGAAGTAATTTCTAAGCGAGTATGAAGATAGGACATATCGAGGAATACTAGTTGATGCATGTTTCTAAAGGAACCAGTCATGGTGAATTTGGCTAAATTTTGCATTATGATCTTTTCCAAAGAAATGTTTTCTTCAAAAGCATCAACGGATATTGTGAGAGGATAATTCATGGTGAAATCAATACATTTTAGATTTCTTAAACCAACGAACGTATTTCTGTTCACGGAGTTAAGGTTATTATTGGCTAAGATAAGAGTTTGAAGATTTGTTACATTCCATGGTATAGTTTTGATATCATCAATTTTGCTTTGATAGAATGTCAAAGTGCTGAGACGGTGGCTTCCGTCGAACCATTGAGGATCTAATACAGAAATGTCGTTACGTGATAAATCAATGCTCTCAAGCTTTTCGGCGCAAGCAAAAGACCCTCGTGGAAGCGACTTAATTTCGTTGTGACCCAGGCTCAAATTAACCAGCGACTTCAATCCACAAAATGACTCGTTATGAAGACTAGCTAAATGATTGAATCCAATGTCTAGTACCTGGAGTTTTTCGAAACCATCCAGGGCATACTTTGGAATAGTTATCAATTTGTTGTATTGGAGATAAATTTTTATTATACCTGGGAAAAGATCTCTTGGTATTTCCGATGTATTCATGGGTACAATAGAACTTATGTTCGACCCGGTTATGGTCGCTTTTACTATTGCCTTGTTACCCAAAAAGGACTCGGCGTGGAATTCAGCCAATGATATATAATTGATGAGTAAATGTACTGCTGGTAAATCCTTGAAAACTGCACGAGGGAGACTCTTTATATCGTTATGATTCAAGTTGAATCCATCGAGGGAGCAATTACGTAAAGCTAGAAAATCTCCTTGCTCTAGTGAACTGACTTCATTAAAAGACAAATCAAAACGTGACAAATTCTTACATCTGCATGCGTTCGCCCCATCTTCTGCAAACTGATTAGTTTTCAGATTGTTTCCAAAGATGCGAGGAATTCCCTTGAGTCTATTATGATGTAGGATTATCAAGGATAGGTGAACATTCTTCTCCAGGAGGGAAATTGGTAGGACACTGATACTATTGTGATGGAGCATTAATACCTTAAGTAGCAGGAGAGCATGAAATGTTTCATTCTCAATGAAGTAGATGGAGTTATAACTAGCGTCTAAAGTTTCTAGCTGTTTATAGTTAACGAACGATTTATCTAAGAGCATAAAGATGTTATTATCAGAAACGTTGAGGGAACGCAGGTCGTGTGGAAGATTCCGGGGAACCGATGTAAGACCGCAATATGAGCAATTGGCGCTATGGTACCTCGAGTTTTCCGAGCACGTATGATTGAGAGTTATGTTGGTGTGATCCATCACCACACCATATAGCAAAGTGAATCCACAAAGTACTACGAAGCTTATTGCGTGCGCGTTCACAGCCATCATGAATTCCAACCAACAGGTCGCTGAAACTGAATTGATGTGATAAAAACTGAAGGAAAATCAAAGTATAGTACTCGGTCCCTAAAGATGATTACGATGAGTCAGCCTTTTTGTTCTTAAAATGAAGCCCAGGTCTATCGTAAAGAGAAATATCCGCGGTAGAACGGTGAAGTCTTTGAGGCTGCTGTAGAAACTGTGTTTGATGCCTTCTCAAAATGTGTTTGTTTGTTTTAGTTGACTGCTAAGAATGTATAATTGCATCACATACCTAGAATATCACCACTTGATGTATTAAAGTTGGAGTTATTTAAGTATCATCTCTATCTTTAGCCAACCAAGCTGATCCAAGAGTTAACTGGATGGTCTTGCTTTTCCTCCCAAGAAGGTCGAAAGGCCAATTTCTGGACTACATCAGAGAGATATCCGCTGGAATGAAAGGTCAGTAGCTCCTACAACTGTGCTCTTGACTGTTCCTCGGTGTTCTTTTCGTTCATTTGTCATAAATGGTACGCGCTTTTAAGTCTAAGTTCTCTGTAACACCATTTCATTGACTCATTTCCAGCTTTGTCATTTTTCTTTGACTTTTGAAACAAGCATCTAATTTCCTTTCGCCAAATGTGCAGTGTCTATGAACATGATACACCTATGTAAGATTGAAGTCCAGTGACTCGGTTCTCGGCAGAGAATTAAGGCTAGTCTAAAACTAGATCCTTCATCAGCAGAATTGTTTCAAGATTGTTCCCATCAAATCGTCCTTTCTCTTTTTGATGACCCTGATCAACATTTTTCCTCTTCCCTCATCTTGGCGTGTATTTTTTTTGGAATAAATCCTGTCAAAGCGGAGTCAAAGATGCTTTAAGTTCAGGTATTATTTCAAAATGAGACAAGAGTCGAGATTGTGAAACACCGTGAGATGCAAAATGAAATGAAGCGTTGGTTAAGCCATGTGATCAGTTTGTTAATTATATCACACGATCATTGAAGGAGAAAAAAAGACAATACAATTACTTCAATTGGGCGGTCTGTGATAGATAAGGAAATGACGGCGCTTAATATTGAGCAAACAAGGAACTGTGATACTTAGTTTTCAAGAGGAAGGACACTTTAAAGAAAAATCCCGGGGAGAAAAAAACACCCATTGATTTAATCAAATAGATTTTATGTTTAGATATTTCATTAATTAAAGAAACGATGTTTAACGGTTACTTTACAGCTTGTGGCTGATATTCTTGGCTTTGATCCATTTTTATTTCAAGTTTTGATATAATCAATGCCTTTCGACGACCGATATCCTGTCTTGAGTGATAGTACTGTACTAATTTTTGTCGAGTGTAATACGATATGTTCTGTTTTCTTTTTAAATACTTTTTGCCTTTGTTTTCTTAAGTTTTTAACAATTTTTATTTTTATTGCTGTCTTTTGTCTGTCTGTATGTTTGTTAAATTGAATTGAATTGAATTTATATATTTATACAAGGTAAAAGCCCAAAAGGTGACAAAACTGGATTCTGGTGGGGCCATGTCAAACATAAAGAAATAGATAAAATAAAAAAAATTAAATAATTAATAGTAAATAATGATATATTAATACATGTAGTTAAAATAAAGAAATTAAAACAAGTGATGGTTACAAAAAAAATTATACAATCTTAGAACAAACGATGAAACACAAAACATTAATACTCAACAGATCGATAAGTTTAAAGGTTTAAAGTGTAAAAGTTCAAAATAAGTATGAAATATTGTAAGCAAACAATGCCACCTGTTTATCCAAGCGTGAACACATACCACACAAAAATGATACCAAATGATTTGGGATAAAACACTCTTTCATAATAAGATGTATACTAATTTACTGTTCATAGATGATTTTTAAAAGAATTAGCAATTTTCTAGGTGTAAACTTTTTTTTTTGACTCACACGGTATATATACATAGAATCAATTTGTCACAAGTGCGCAGACTCTGTGTGATATTTAAAGAAAACATCTTTAGAACTTTATGATGGAAATGGCAGAATAAAATGTGATGAATCACCAACGAATAACAACATTAATTTCAAAGGAGTCAAACTTACAATTGTCAATCCGCTTTTATACCAGATGTTCTTGACAACCTGAGACTTGCCCCTGGATTGCCCGACATGGCAATAAGTATTTTATGCAGACTGGTATTGTACTTCATTCATTAATAACACGTCGTTAATGAAACGAATCATCACTAGGTCCCCAGGGTGTGCATCTGTCCCATTCTACCACTTTTTTTTTCTTCTTATTTATTTCCTTACTTCCTTCCTCTATCTCTACTGCATACATGTACCTGACTCCACGCATGGAAGCACACACATGCATACATGTAATTGGTATGTTATGCTCTGATCACAACTTTATATATGTCTTTTCATGTAAGCAAGGTCACTTTTAGATAAGTATTTTTTAAACAGTTGTTGTCTTTTGCCATGCTTATTTTAATCAATTGTAATATTTGAAATGTTATTATTAAGTGCAATAATGTAACCTATATTACAGTAAATGTCTTCAACTCAACAAATTTGTATGTTTAAGAAGAGGTGCTTTTATGATATTTAAAGGAAATAACTATCTTTATGACAGTGTTTAAATGCCATTCACTTTGTCCACAATGATGCAAAATAGTGATCTCTTAATTGATGAATAATTTAGTTGAGTGCATGCATGAATGCCAGCTGCTATGTTCCTTCTCCTTCCCTCTTCCCTCACTTTACCTGAAGCTTTGTTTTAGGTGTGCATCTCTCGATTTTCGACCACTTTTTCTTATTTCTCTCCTTTCTTCTACACTGTGTCTCTATTGTATACATGTACCAGACTTCATGCATGCCCTCTTTACATGATTTTAGTATGTCATGGCCGCTGTATATGCAAATAAGTGACATGTCAACCTCTGATACACAACATAGTGCACTTCCCCCACCTTGAGATTACAAGGTGGGCTTATATACCTGATTATCAAATAATTATTGATTCGGTGTTCTTAATGTCTTTCTCCCTTTCTCTTCTATTGCTCTTTCTTTCTCCTTCATTCTACCACTTTTAGTCTTCATATTTTTACATCTTTGTCTCTCTCTCTCTCCTCTCTTTCTCAAATACTCATTCCATGTTGGTGTGTGGTTGTGGCCTATAATTATTATCTCCTCAGATTCTAAGTGTTCCAACACTAAAGATATAAATGTAATTATTACATATGCACAATATGCAATATATAAAATGTACATGTTAAACTATTTCCAAGGGAAAACTTACAACAGTCTTGCAATATGGCATGTTTTTAAAAATGAACTGTGTTTGGATAACATTTCAGATGTTATATCAAATGCCCTCCAACATTAGAGCCCTAGATTTTTACCTAATCGTAAAAATGAATGTATATTTCGGTTTCAATTATTTTGTTGTTAAATGTATTTTATAACCTAATAAATACCTCTGAAGAGGGAAAAAAATTATCTCCTCATATTTAAATGAAGAATACAGAAAGGAGTCATATTTCCACTAAATGCCCCATAACAGATAAATTACAAGAATATATAACATGCATGTAGTATCGATATACATAACTCTTCAAATCCTTTATGGAAATAGAATATCAAGTGCCTCGTGGAAATAAGCTGAGAAAAAAATTGGAAATATTAGTTGAATTGAACCAGTGACTGAATATTTTATATAAACAAATTAAATTGTGTTCTGAACAAATAAAGGGAGCAAATGGATTTGTGTGTGTGTGCCAATGTTTCGGTATAAATTGGAACATTGTAAATGCATTGTGTGTATACAATGTGAATAGTAGTATATATTATAATTGTAAGCTCAGCAACACCTCTATGCTCTAACTATAACACATGTTATTAGGAAAAACATCCAAAACATATCGCTGTTTTCCCAGGAGAATTATTCTGATTTATAATTATGAAAAATGAAGACCTTTTCCTCTTATACATGTACTGATGCCCAATCAAGACACTCATTCGCCGAGTGAGCGTAGTCTAGTATTCAACGCACCTTTATTGTAGTCTCGGTCCGAGTACACTTTATTCAGGGGCTCTCAGTGATCCCCACCCCCTCCCCTTCTCTCTCTCTCTCTCTCTCTCTCTCTATCTCTCTTTAATGTCCACACAACACTCTTACTTTGCGTTACTTTCTACCTTTTTTCTTTCCCTCCGACTCTCCCAGTTGGTGTGCATTCACATTACTATATATCTCTTCTTCTTCGTATAAAGTTTAATGCGTCGCGTGCACTGTGGTAAATTATTCCAAATGGAATGTGAGGCATTTCTAACAGATATAAAAAGTTGTTTTTACTTTCCATAAGTAAAATGATTTACAAAATGTAGTATTTTAAGCTTGAATTTCATTATTAAATGAAAACAGTGCAGCTATCTTACATGTAAGCAATAAGAGACAAAAATTTAAGCCAACTAATGTTTTGTGATATATAAACAAATCGAAAAGATTCAAGCACTTACATATTAAAAATAATGGACCAGAATGAAATGTATAACTACCTCCTGTAACTGTAAACTTTTCTGTAACTTATAAAGAGTGTTCATTTCCATTCGACTCGAGTTTCCCCAAATAACAATACAATATGCGAAATGAAACAATGTGAATAAATTATATAGTGTAATTTATATCGAGAGAGTTACACAAGTCTTTAATTTATACAGTATACCTATACAGTTTGACACTTTCCTTAAAGAGAAACTCCAGTACTGGTAAAAAAAAGAAAATGAATTCACACAGAATCAAACGAAACTTACACCGAATGTTCAAGATTACAAATAAATGTCATGTGCCAAACAATTTTGGAAGAAAATGTATACTGGCTGAGTAATGAGCATAGAAAGACAAGGAAATCAAGGTAGTACCAGCCCCGACAACATGCGTGTTGTCCCATATATAGCTTTCTGTGTACGGTGCGTGTTACTTTACCAAAACTCGGTCAAATTTATTATGATTTTGATGACTCTAGAACCTTGCAGTGCACACCAATACTTACATTCTACATGATCAACTTTTTCTGATCCTTTCCACACCTTTTCTTTCACAATGCAATCGCATTACCAGTACTAAAGTTTAGCTTTAATATAACATTATTATGTGTGCATCCCAACAAAATATCTACATTTTACCAAGAGAATTAACAACTTTTTTCTTAGCTATATATACATAATTAATTCGAAGTGATATAGGCTTATTACTAAATAAATTTGAAACAGTATTTTTTTATTATGAAATATACAATAGTTGGTTTTGTTCAGATTAAGAATCAATCTATTAGCTTTAAGCCACTTTGCCACGTTATTCACTTCTTCATTAACATTACTTTCAACATTACTAATATCCGAATAATCAGATTGAGTAAAGATAAGAACTTTTTCATTGCGTACATAACATGTTCTAAGTTTTCAGAGGATCTAAATAGATCATTAATATGTATTAAGAACAGCATGGGACCTAGGATAGACCCTTAGGGGACTCCACATGTTATAACAGAAAATCAGTTATAGAATATTTAAACATAGTATATTGGAGACGATTGTGTAAATAATCTTTTACAAAAATAAATAGGATCCCACATATTCCATAAAAACACAATTTTGACACAGGAATTGAATGATCAACAATGTTGAAAGCTTTCGATAAATCCATGAATATATTCCAATACAAAAATTATTTTCAATTGCTTAAGTTATTTCATCCTGTAAATCAATTAAAGCATGGACAGTATAATAAAATTGACAATCAGGAGGTACATCATTTTTAGATAGAAAATTATAAACACATTTTCTAATAGTTTGGATATACAAGGCAATAAAGATATCAGTCGATAATTTTTGAATAAAAGACAATCATCGTTTTTTATGGACAGGTATAATTTTTGCAATATTTAATTTGCCAGGAAAAATACCACTTGATAACAAATTATTAAGAATATTACAAAGGTTTAGTTATTGAATAAATTATCTTTTTAAATACTTTCACTATGAATAGGACGGACAAAGAAAGAGGACAAAATATACAGTTCCTCAGGTAGACAAAGGAACATCCCTTCCCTGCTATTATGCAAAAATATGTAGAACAGATGTCACATGCATATTCACCTGTTCTACACATTTTTACATAATAGCAGTGAAGGGATGTTCTTTTGTCTACCACAGTAATTGACAAAGAATCAATTCGAGCAATATTGTAATGCAAAGTAGAACAACAAGAACTAAAATACGAAATAAATTCATTTGCGATAGTTTGTTCATTCTGTATTAATTCATCATTATTTACAAAATGCAAAGACAATGAGGTTATTCTTTTGTTCAACAAAGTATTCATAATTTTCCATGTACCATTAACATTACCGTTCATTTCCCCCAAATTGAGCACAATAATAAAAAAACAAATTGCTTTAATAAATAATTTGCTCGATTTCGGTATGATTTAAACTTATATTCATTTCCAGGAGATCTATTGCAAATAAATGTTTTGTACAATTTATTTTCTTCTCAAATCGTCTTAATAAATATCCATTTCTTTTAGATTGATTAGGTACAAGAGGTAAATATTTATTATAATCTACTTAACAAGAGAATAAAATACATTATACATTTGTTCTGCATTGTAATACATATACAAACATTACCAATCTAACCCCCTTCTCAATGCAGTAATATATTTTTGGTGATTTTACGAACAAGAGATTATTAGGTTATTATTAGTAGAGTATTTAACTAACTCAAATAACGATGATATAGTTAATAGATCAGTAATGTCAGTACATATAGTTCCACTTGCGCATTTGCAATTGTTCATATTAGTAAATATATTATCACTATTACCTGTAATTCGAGTTGGGATTGTATTTAAATTTTTAAGCCCAAACGAGGGGTTCATACTTACAAATTTACAAGCGTCAGAAATATTCACTTGAGCATTATTCAATTTAAGAAGATCTTTATTCAAATCAACGGCTATAACAACATTTCCATGCGATAAAGTACCACGTGCATCATTATAAAACTGTAAAAATTCAAAATAACAGGGTTTGGTTTTCTGTAAATAACACCTATTGTATAATTAAAGGTCAGTCCAAACATAAAATCTACACATAAATATTCATATAATCATCTTACGAATAAAATAAATCACTGCGAACAGTACAAATAACGCAACACCACCTCCTCTACCGATTAATCTATCTGAATGTATACAAATGTTACCATCTATATGACAATGAAAAGGAACACTAGGGGTACCACAAATCCAAGTTTCTGATATAGCAATAACAGAAAATGTTTGTAAAAGTGTATCCCAAAATAAATGAATATTTTCAAAGTTTCTAGAGAGACTACGGGCATTAAAATGTATAACACTGAGGTTGACATTATCATTGTGTATATTTAAACTAAATTCAGTGAAGGTGAGACACAGCAATCATCATGCAATGTTCCCTTTATATTCTTGACAAAGAACGAACTACTTCACTTCCACAAATAAACTCCATCTTTAGGGGGGGGGGAGTTGGAAGTGTGAGCTCTTTGCAATACTGCCTCGTGGAACATTTGACAAATTACATGTATATTCATGATTTTGAAATAAAATGAATATGAATGAGACAAACATTTTTTTAAAGACGCATGTCTCACGTCGGGTTCGAACTAATCCCGACGCAAGGAACGTTTTTTTTTACACACATCTAGTTACAACCACGCTCATGACACACGCTTTTTCATGCAAGCGTAACAAACCACATTTGTTTGATCTGTGCTAAACTGGAATTACATTATTCATTTCCCTGTTAGTCCTCATGCTCTTCTCAAACTTTGCCCAGAAGAGTTCTTGTCCATCTTCATCATCATCCACCCACAGCAAATAAGGCTTGTTTCGACTCAGCAACAGCCTTACAAGGTACGGTAGGTGGTCATCATCGATGTCCTCTAAAAATATGAGGATGATCTTCTCCAACTTGGTGTCATTCATATGCTCCACGGCCATACGGAGTTTGGTCATGAACCAGGTATCCTCCACTGACTCGTTGTTAAGCAACAAAACCGTCTTGTAGCTGTTCTCAATGACGTCATAGATGGCGTTCAAGTAGAAAGACCCTGGATGAAGGTCATTATCCCCGAAAACGACGTGCTCCAGATGTGGCATCCTCCCCTGCAGGAATGGCTTCATGCAATCATTAGTCCACCACTCATCTTCTTCACGGAACATAAGGTTAAGCTGATACTCGTAGTCCTCAGGACCTTGATTTTCAATGATTTCTTCATACCCAATGATGGCCAACTTTAAGAGAAATAGTTTGTGGTTCAGCCACCATCGCTTTTGGTACGCGAGTACACTGAGCGAAAAAACGGTCACGATTGCCAAAGATACACCTACAATAAGATAGATATTGACTCCGCAGTAATCTTTAGGATGGAACGACCAGATAGTCTGATCTCTTAGCAATTTGAAGGAAGTACTAGAGCAACGAGTCTCATTTCTTAGATCGATTTTTGTATTCCCCTTGTCCAGCCATTTGCTGAACCATGCAAGTTGGCAGGTACATGTGAAGGGATTTTTCGCAATAATTAACACCTTAAGACTTTGTGGTATTAGTGTAAAAGGTTCTATGGTGGAGATTTGATTATCCTGGAGGTATAGATTCTGGAGACTGTGAGTTCTAGAAAATAATTGCTTCTCGATAACTGTAATAGAGTTAGAATTTAGTTTGAGGACACGTAAATTCTGTAAATCCTGAAAAGCTTTCTCGGGAATGATTCTAATATGGTTCGCGGCCAACGAGAGATATGTTAATGACGTAAGATTCCCAAATATCCCCGAGTTAATTTGTTGTATGCGACACTCAAACAGATCTAACTCACGAAGATTCCAAAGTGTGGTAAATGCGTTAGCAACCTGATGGAAATCATCGAACAAGTTATGTTGCAGTTTCAGAGTGTACAACGAGACAAGTCCTGAAAACAGTGATCTATTGCTTTTAAATTGGACTAAATCTTCGGCTTTGATATTAGTTTTGGATAAGTTTAGAGTCCTCAACGCCGACGTATGACTAAATTGGCCACAGGAAGTAATTTCTAAGCGACTACGAAGATATGACATATCGAGGAATACTAGTTGATGCATGTTTCTAAAAGAACCAGTCATGGTGAATTTGGATAAATTTTGCATTATGATCTTTTTTAAAGAAATGGTTTCTTCGAAGGCATCAACGGATATTTCGAGTGGATTATTCATGGAGATATCAAGAAATTTTAGATTTTTTAAACCAACGAACGTATTTTTGGTCACGGAATTAAGTTTGTTGGAGATCAAGTTAAGAGTTTGAAGATTTGTTGAATTCCATGGTATAGTTTTGATTTCATGAATGTTGCTTTGATAGAATGCCAAAGTGCTGAGACTATGGCTTCCGTCGAACCATCGAGGATCTAATACAGCAATGTCGTTACGTGATAAATTAATGATCTCAAGCTTTTCGGCGCAAGCAAAAGATCCTCGTGGAAGAGACTTAATTTTGTTTGCAGATAGATCCAAATTAACCAGCGACTTCAATCCACAAAATGACTCGTTTTGAAGACTAGATAAACGATTGGAACTAATATCTAGTAACTGGAGTTTTTCGAAACCATCCAGGGCATACTTTGGAATAGTTATCAATTCGTTGCGTGATAGATAAAGTTTTGTTATACCAGGGAAAAGATCTCTTGGCATTTCCGATGTATTCATGGGTACAATAGATCTTATGCCCGAACAGATTATAGTCACTTTTACTATTGCCTTGTTACCCAGAAAAGAGTCGGCGTAGAATTCAGCCAGTGATATATAATTGATGAGCAAATGAACTGCTTGTAGATCCGTGAAAACGGCACGAGAGAGACTCTTTATATCGTTATTATTCAAGTTGAATCTATCGAAGGAGCAATTCCGTAAAGCTACAAAATCTCCTTGCTCTAGTGATCCGACTTTATTAAAAGACAAATCAAAACGTGACATATTCTTACATCCGCATGCGTTCTCCCCATCTTCTGCAAACTGAGTAGTTTGCAGATTGTTTCCAACGATGTGAGGAATTCCTTCGAGTATATTATGATGTAGGATTATCGAGGATAGATGAACATTCTTCTCAAGGAGGGAAATGGGTAGGACATTGATACTGTTGCGATGGAGCCGTAATACCTTAAGTAGCAGGAGAGCATGAAATGTTTCATTCTCAATGAGGTAGATGGAGTTATAACTAGCGTCTAAAGTTTTTAACTGTTTATAGTTAACGAACGATTTGTCGAGGAGCATAGAGATGTTATTATGAGAAACGTAGAAGGAACGTAAGTCGTGTGAAAGATTCCGGGGAACCGATGTAAGACCGCGATATGAGCAGTTGGCGCTATGGTCACTCGAGTTTTCCGAGCACGTATGATTGAGAGTTATGCTGGTGTGATCCATCACTACACCATATAGCAGAGTGAATCCACACAGTACTACGAAGCTTATTGCGTGAGCGTACACAGCCATCATGAGTTCCAACTTCCAACAGGTCGCTGATACTGAATTGATGCGAGAATACTGAAGGAAAATTAAAGTAGTACTCGGTCCCTCAAGATGATTACGTTGAGTTAACCTTTTTGTTTGTCTTTCTTAAAATGAAACCTAGGTCCATATCCACGGAAGAACAATGAAGTCTTTGCGGCTGCTGTAGAAATCGTGGTCAATATGGCTTCTCAAAATGTGTTTGTTTGTTAAGTTGACTGCTAAGAAAGTATTTTTTTATCACGTACATACCCAGAAAATCACCCCTTGGTGTAATAGTTGGAGTTATATTAAGCACCATTTCTATCTTTGGCCTACCAAGCTGCTGCAAGAGTTGACTGGATGGTCTTATTTTGCTTCCCAAGAAGGTCGATAGGCCAAGTCCTGAACTACATCAGAGAGATATCCGCAGGAATGAAAAGTCAGTAGTTCCTACAACTGTGCTCTTGACTGTCCCGGTGTTCTTTTCGTTCACATGTCCAAGAGAGTATGCGCTTTTCAGTCGCAGATCGCTGTAACACCATTACATCGACTCATTTCCAGCCTTGTCATTTTTCGTTGACTTTTGAAAAAACTTCCTTTAGCCAAATGTGCAGTGTCTATGAACATGATACAACTGGTAAGATTGCACTCCAGAAACTCGGGTTTTTGGCAAAGAGTTAAGGCTAGTCTAAAATTAGATCCTTCACCAGCAGACTTAATTGTTTCAAGATTGTTCCCATCAAAAGAACCTTTCTCACAAGCTTTAGGTGCAAGTCAATTATTTTTTTAATCCGCTTTTCTTGATGACCCTGATCAACATTGTTCCTCTTCCCTCATCTTGGTCTCAAAGCAACGTGTGCCGAGTCAAAGATGCTTTAAGTTCGAATGAAACAAGAGTCAAGATTGTGAAACACCGATGAGATGCAAAATGAAATGAAGCGTCGATTAAGTCACGTGATCAGTTTGATAGTCATATTACGTGATCTTTGAAAAGAATAACAATAAAAACAACTTCATTCGGGCGGTCGGTGAAAGCTAAGGAAATGACGATGCATATCATAAGTTCTCACAACAGTTGACACAGTGACACGACTGGATTCCGTTGGGGTCCTTTCGAACATAAACAAATAGAAATCCGTACTAGTTGGCAGCTCTGTATGACAGATAAGTTACAAAAACAGATAACATGCTTGTAGTATCAATGCTTGTGACAGAGATATACATTGCTCTTCAACTCCTTTATGCCAAGCAGAATATTTAATGCCTCGTGAAAAAAAAGCTGGGAAATAAATTGGCATATTAGTTAAATTGAACACAGAACAAAGTGAAAATTATTCTTCTATGTTAGCAAATTCTTTTAATGCATATATCATAAACATTCACAAGTATGTTATACAAGTATGTATTAACGAGATATGAACCATGAAGTAGATTGTAGAGGTTCTTTGAGTAAGGATACGTCGCCCAAATGGCTGCATGATCGCTCTCTTAGTTTTCTTCATTCTTGTTGTATTTACCTTGTTAAGCACATAGAGAGAATCTAGTTTATTATGTCCTTTAAATATTAATCGTTATCATTGTTATTATTATTGAGTACCGAAGCTGTGACATCATACAAATCTATTTTTTAAATTTCTCAATTTTGTCTTCATTTTCCGACAGAGCATCAAAAATAATGTCCAAACGTCGAAAAACGATTGAATATGTTAAGTATTGGCTGAGATATGACCATCTGAATAAATAGATGTTCTTTTGGATCTCAGTGTTATACTGCTCTGGCTCATAACATTAGGAGCCAGATGAAGAAAAAATTGAGAAATTCCAAAAATAGATTTTTTGATGACATCACACTTCACCACTCTATTGAGGTTGGTAGTAGCTCCTTGTAATTGTAGCATCAGAAATGGTTATGGTGTACATCCCAGAAGTGCGTTTCTGCCATACCATTACCGGTTTGGAAACAAAAGTATCCCACAATGTTCAATAAATAAATAATACGATACATTGTTAAATTTAATATGATATCAGGCATGACCAAACAGTGCCTAGAAAGTAAGCTGAAAGGTGACATTATATGGTATGTAGTAATACAAGAACCAAGGGAGCCTACTGTTTAAAATAAGGTGAAGGCAGTGTCTCCAATGTATGTTGGGAGACTGGATGAACACTCAATATCTGATGAAGGCCATACAAAATGAACCACTGACAGTGGCCGATAATTTTTTAAATTTTTAAAAATGTAATGCTTCCTGGGAGAAATTTCAATAGTTCGAACATATTTGTGGCTTACACCCAGTAAATAAGATCGATTGATCGATCTGTAATTGAAAAAACAAGTCAGAAAAAATCTTGGAACCAGCAGGATTTGAACCTGCTTGTTTTTGTTCGGTGGCCACTCAAACAGGGCTCAACGTCTTTTTTTATTACTTTGTATTTCAATAAAATATTCTAATCTGTACACTAGTCAAATCAATTGATGGCTAATCAAATCCTATGATTTTGTATTTATGCCATACCCATGCAGGACTTCAGAGTAATTGAGTAAGGCAAGAACACAAATTACAAAGGTCATCTTTTAAACGAGAGAAGCTCATGCAAAATAACCCCATTCTATGAATAATTCTTTGTTTGTTTTTACCTCACAATTCTGGAAAGAACCAATGATATGACTATAAATGACAAGAACATAAATGTGTTTTTACAAATAACCAGAAGTAAAGTAATAAATTGATAATATCCATTTACTTATACATTTTTCTTTTCTTTCCAATATAATTTCAATGCGAAAGCTTCTGTTACTGAGATGGAATACGACCTGCAAAGTGATTTGATAGAACACTTTATCTTTTAGGGAAAACTACTAATCCATGAAGATTTTGGAGAAAAAAAAATGTTTGGAAATGAGTCAAAACATCAAGCAATGGCATAAATACAAGGGCATAACAAATGTTCTTCTGGAGCAAGAAGGCCGTTAAGTTCATAACGACTTTACAAAGTTGAGGGCCGGTTACATACCAACAATTTGATAATAATCATGACGAAAAATATGTTTATGTCTATAGGATCTTAGAGGATCGGCACTACTTGCTCATAAGAATAAATTGGTGATCCCCATGAACATAGACCAATCTTAATCATTATTATTATAAATATAACATCGTTGATATGTTACCAACCCCAACGCCCTTCTGTTCCTGAAGTGACTGTATGGCCCGATACTAAATGTACAAGAAAACAAGGTGACGTTTCAGCCCTATTTAGTTCTCGTTTTTGTGCGTAGCTTCTTTCCGTCTCCCTTGAAAGCCTCAAAAGAGTCCACTTCGTCCTGGGACAGAGAAAACAAAAGGAAAGGAGGATGTCAGAAAGGGAGTGCATAAAAGCTGCTTTTTCATTTGTAGAATTTTTCACTATGTAAAATATTTCAATTGTCAGATATATATAAAACCATCCTTCCAAGAGAGAAAAAAACGCATGCTAATTCTCCCCATGGCATATCCAACTTCATACCCATTTCATCTTGCCCATAAATGTTTTGTCTCTATCCATCTCTCTGTATGTATGCCCATCTCTTTTTCGAATTTCTCCCCTCTTTTCTTATCACTATTCCTATGGCACTATAAAATTTTCCATCATACACACTACTTTTCCCATTTTCTCAACGTAAGCCTCCATTTACATCTAATATTTGAAAGAATACTATTTTTGATAAAGGTCGTCATCTATGGAGCACGATTCCAAACCATCTAAAGAATCGACCTTCCGTAAATAGTTTTAAACGTTCCTTTCGATTGTTTTTATTAAATTTGTACTCAACAACTTGAATATTATATTTGACTCATGACGTATATATTTATACAGTGTATATATATATATTTTTTGTATTATGCTTTCTTTTTCTTCTTAATGTGATGTTAATTACGTACTTGTTTAGGGGTCAACATTCAACAAGGCTAAATGCTCTTTTTTGTTGACCCCTCATTCAACATAAATGTGCTTTCTTAACTAATTTCCTTGTTAATTTTATTGTATTCATATTATCTGTAATGTTACCCTTCTACATGTATTTATGTATTTCAATTTTTTTTTCTTTTTAATACTCTGTATGTATTGTATATGTTTTTTATGAAGAATGAAATAAATACCATACCATACCATACCATACCATACCTATGATCTTTCACCTCCTGACCACCCTCCCCATTCTACCTCTACCCCTAACATCTACATACTAAATCTACAGTATGATATCAACCTTCACTCTTCCATCTATTGTCCTTTCTCAAGCATGGATCTGCACCATACCTTTGTTAGGCACTTTAATTTACCGACTATCCTCCCCCACACCTCTCCAGCTTACTTACTATGCCTACTCCATTGCTAGCTAATGAAGGTAGTATTCTCTTAACACTAACCCTAAACCTGTCATAAATCTCAACTTCTGGAGATGTTGGGTCACCTCCCTCTATATTTCCCACCTTCCTTAATACCATGCCTACTCCTGTGTTAGCTGCTGGAGGTAGGTCATATTCTATTAACCCTCAAGGGCCTAAACATAAACCTAACTTTAGACCAGTTCTGGTCATGCGATTGCACTGTGAAAGAAACGTTGTGGAATCGATCAGAAAAGGTTGATCATCTAGCGTATAAGTATTGGTGTGTACTGCAAGGTTCTGGAATCATCAAAATGATAAGAAATTTGGCCAAGTCTTGGTAAAGTTACAAGCACTGTACACAGAAAGATGTATATGGGACTATGCGATATCTATCCAGGCCGGGTCAATAATTTACCAAATATATCAATTGGTAGGCGGTTTCCCTGTAAATTTTTTATCATCACATATTATTAAAAACATATTCTTTCACATGATTGGTAATAAGAGCTTCCATTTCATTTTTTGAGAGGGGGGTGTTTCCAAAACTGGTCTATACCTTTAACATTCAACCATGACTCTTAACTTAACATAGAACCAAACTGTGACCCTAAATTTATAACCTTACATCTTTGACAAGTTAAAGTCTGGAGAAGATGTTGGGTAACCTCGCCCTCCCCCCCCCCCCCCCCATCTCTTGTTTACTTACTGTTCCTACTCCATTGCTGGCTGCTGAAGGTCGTATTCTCCTGATGAAAGTCAATGTGCCTTTCTTGTAATCGTAATTTGGGATGCCTCTGAAAAGTGATTAAAAGAAAAATTATTTAAGAAAAAATATCAAGGAAGAATTTAGTTTGTGGTCAAGACAACACTATCATTGGGGTTTCCGAGACCAAGGTGATATGTAAACTGTTGAGTCCAAACACGACTAGGTTAGGGTTTGAGTTGGGTTTCTTGAGAGCACGTGAAAGAGATGCCTACCTTTGTGGGATGTCTTCAGGAGGAATGACAGGCTTGTAATCTACGTTCTTCTTCTTGCCATCTAACCTATGACCTTCTCCTTGGAATGCCTGGATGAGAGAGAGACAGACAGACACAGAGAGAGAGAAATAGAAAAATAAAGTTACATTAAAATTAGATTTTAAATGTATGCTACTCTGTACTTTCATAGCAGTGATATTTTTTATTCTTTCAGAGACACATATATTTATAATTTGAAATTACATATTTTGAAATATATGGATTAAAAAGCTGAAGAAAAACAAAAAAGGATTTTTAATGTACTATTACAAAAGTTCATCAGCAAAACGATAGATCAATGAGATGTATAAAAAACAAATGTTACAATACAAAGAATTAAAGAATGAGAAAGGAATTGGGTAGAAGTGACCGAGAGAGAGAGAGAGAGAGAGAGAGAGAGAGAGAGAGAGAGTAAAGGAAAAATCAAAAGGGGTGGGTGGGAAAACGGAGGAGAGAGGGAGAGAGAGAGAGAGAGAGAAAGGGACTTACCCTGAATTTGTTTACATCAATGTACTGTGAATAATCTGTGTTGTCTACTTGCATTTCCTGTTTGAAAGAAACATTAAGAGCAAAGTGTAACAGTATAACACTTGTGCATAATAATTCTTTCTCACACAAAAACACAATGATAGGTGAAAATGTGGTAAACATAAAAAACAAAGAGGGAGAACTTTCTGGTATCGTAGACATAAAACGTACCCACTTCTAATCTCTTCATGAAAGAAGAAAAAGTACAAACACAAATATTAAAAGCAAGTGGGAGGTGTAGACAAATAATTTGTGCTTCTTCTTCATTAAATACATGTCTACATTTAAAAGAAGAGAGTTAACACAGGTAATGAAGCATGTTTCTACAAAACTGCCATAACATCAGCAGCCTACCACTGACACTAGTACAAATCACAGTCAACCAGAGTGGCTACTTCTTCAACAAACATTTTCTGAAGATGATGAAAGATTTTTTTTTTCTTTTCTAACCTCATGTTGATGTTCCTTAGCCCTTGGCATTTGAGGCTCTACATAATCAACTGGTGGGGCAAACTCAACCTGTAATGATAGGGGTAAACAAAATTAAAAGTTATCAGACATACATATTTCAAGACATTCCTGCTTCATAAAATTACCTGTATGAGGCACATACGATAATGCATAAAACTACCTCATGAACATGCTTTTATGCATGCACTTGGTCTATCAGATTTTCTTTTGAAAGAGTAAACAAATCAAGTTTTGACTAGTATAATCAGAAATTGTTCCTTTTAACATACACAGACAATGATTGCATTGCACATGCTCACTGATACAAATTGATCAAATTCTGTGTTTTTAAAGCATTCAATTGTAATGTACAACTTATATTCATTTTATTTACATTTAATTCCAATGTACTTAGATTCAATTTTATTTTATCTAATTCAATTTTAATATACTTACACTCATATCACATTCAATAATTGATACAGCATCGCTGGGCTTTGTTTCCAGAACCTCCAGCTCATAGATCTAAAGAAAGTAACAAAAATAGTCAGAAAATTAATATATCTGTAAAATGTAATACTGGTAGAAATGTTGTTGATATATGAAGGGCTACAATGTATATAAACTCAGAATATTATTATTATCACAGAAGTCAGAATCAATACTAAATTACTCTTTGCACATTTGAATGACAATTTCAAACAGTAAGTTCAGTATGTTGAAATTTTGCAAAATGTATAGAATGTCACCATAACCTACATAAATTGTAATGCTGAGAGGAATACATTTCCAATAATGTTGTACTCTTCATTTAAAAATGTAAGCTCTCATATTGTCTTCAATTTCACAGTATATTGCTACAGTCAAACCTGTCTTAGTTGCCACCTCTCTATAAAGACCACCCGTTGTATAGTGGCCATGCATTTGTCTCCCTCAGGAGTAATTCTGTGTTGTAAACCGGTCTAGAAAGGCAACCTGTCTACAGTGGCCACTTTTTCTGTTTCAATTGGGTGACCTTTATAGACAGGTTCGACTGTATTAACATCTTGATCCATTGGTTACTGAATTCTCATATTCTCCATTGGTTTCATACAGGTACCATCTGCTTTCAGTAGGCAATGGGTTCCTTTTAGAACACACTCGGTTTTTTGAGGAACTAATGACACAACTGAGGACCTGATTTGCCAATTCAAGCTCACAAGAAGTAATGATTACCTTGTCGTTGTATTTAATGGCCACCATGTCCCCTTTGGTGAGACACGCGAATCCTCGCAAGATATTCTCCAGGCTGTTGGTTGATAGCAGGTTAAGAAGACAATGGCTCGAAAGAATATTTTTTACAAGCTCAAAAGTTCATACATATCTTTTGAACATGAACATGCATTTCATTGTTTGAGAGAAAATTAAAATGGTGGAATGTGTATGAATTTGTGAGAGCTTAAAAAGGATATTCAGCAGTTTTAGGCCAATCATACATGAGTACTGTCTACATATAAGGGAAATTCACTTCTTACATATTTTGTTGTGTTCTGAGTGGATTTCACTACATGTATATGCTTGAAAGAGAGGGGAAAAAATAAAAAGTTTACTTTCACATTTGATTTTTCAAATTTTAACAGGAAAGTCAACATAATACTATTAGTAATCTAAATGTTCAAAACAACTTGTGTGGATATTTGTGATATCCAAATGTTGTGTTATCTTTTTATTGATTTATCTTTTAATGAAGAATAAACAAACAAAATCAAATTAGCAGATTCATTTTAACATATTTGACTACAGCAAAATACACACAATGCTAAATCAGCTGCAAATATATGGTACATGTAGATGTGTACTGATTCTAATATTAAAGGTAAAGACCAGTTTTGAAAACGCCCCCCCCCCTCAAAAAATGAAATGGAAGCTCTTATTACCAATCATGTGAAAGATTATGTTTTGAATAATACGTGATGATAACAATTTTGCTGAGAAACCGCCTAATAATTGATATATTTGGTAAATTATTATATCTATTTGGACCTGATAGATATCACCCACGTGTTGCGCACGTGTCGCGCACGTGTCGCGTAATCCCATATACATCTTTCTATGTACAGTGCTTGTAACTTTACCAAGACTGGGCCAAACTGCTTATCATTTTGATGATTCCAGAACCTTGCAGTACACACCAACACTTATATGCTAGATGATCAACCTTTTCTGATCGATTCCACAACGTTTCTTTCACAATGTAATCGCATGTCCATAACTGGTCTTTATCTTTAAGACTTTGATTCAAAGTTGAATGATGAAAGGATACACTGCCTTGGGATTTGATATATCTAGAAAGTCCACTGATTGGGGCTGGAATTTTGAATATGTTGCTACAGGCAACCCATTTGCTTCCACTTGGATGTTGAGAAGATCCCCCTCATCAAGTAATAAGTTCTGCATCATCTACATTTAGATAGTAAAAATGAATAAAAAATAATGATAGATAACTAAAATAATAAGCAAAATGAAGAGTTACAAATACATTTTGGGAGAGATAGAAGGTAAAAAAAACTGCAGGAATAAAAAGTACAAAATGAGATATTCATTTACAAATTAAGACAGGGGAGAGAGAGAGAGAGAGAGAGAGAGAGAGAAGAAAAGGGGGAGGGGGTCTAAAGTTAATGTACAGAGTATGGAGTTAATGGTGATAAATCAGACTTACACTTACATGTATTAAATCAAATTTCATAAAACCTGACGATTCATAGCTTTTGAATTTAAATGGTTATCACCATCATAAAATCACTAACATTATCATATTCATCATAGTTTTCAACACTGTAGTTATTATAATCACTATCATCAGTATGATCATTATAATAATAATCATTAATATAATCAGTATTACTTTAACTTTCAATGTCTCAATTTCATGGCAAATAGAAACTTACCCAGTACGGGAGATAGACTTTGCCTTCGTCAGCCACAAACTCCAGAACTCCACAATTTGTTGTCCTGTTAGCTTTCTTGTTTGTGAGCTTGAATAACATGGGGTACTCAATGTGAAGTCGTGCTGTTTGGTTTGCACAGACACATGGATAAAAATTGTGGATTATGCAAGATAGTAAAGAGGATGTTGGTATAAAATTGATGACCATTTAGTGTACAGTACATGTACATGTATATGTATATATATTTTTCCTCATCTCTCTATGTATCTCATTCTAATTCTATCCCTCTGCGCCTCAGAATAGTTTACTGGATCGATGGCGCATAATAAATGCTGTATTATTATTATTATTATTATTATTATATAAATGGCAAATATTTGATTTACAGTATCTACAATAACCAGTTTCAGGTTAACATTAAAAAATGCACTTTCCACTTTCTTTCCATTTAATCAAGTTATAGTTCTGATTTTGCATTGTTACGGTTACATGGGAATGTAAACATCCATATACAGTAATCATATACCATATTGTTTAAGTAAAGATTAAAGCAATACCTGTAAAGCAGCAATCATCTAGACGACCTTTGCAATCAAGGAAAACAAATGCCTGATTCTCATGAAAAATGAAGTATTGTGATTTTGTACATATATATATAAATATATATATATATATTTTAAAGCAACAATTGGTACTAAATACAAGAAAAGGTGAGAAAACAATTAACAAGTGAAGAAAGTAATGAAGTGTTTATATCTAAAGACTTAGTGATAAATCAAAAAATGAATTTAAAGTTAAAAGATTTTCTTTTTAGTCTAATCAATAAAGAAATGTAGTCATATTTCATACCAAAATCAAACAAACATGAATTGTACTTACACAAAGTATCTAGAGCAGATGGAGGCATTATAACTGCAAAAATAAGATTGTAAAACAGGTATCACTAGTATTCAAAGTCATTATTCGAAACCATACATTATAATCATTGATCCCTTTAGAAGAAAAAAAGAGCCATTGTTAGTTTCATACCTGGCATGCATGAACCTGTGTGCTTTATCCAGCAGGAACTTTATCTGTTCACTTTATTACATTTTAGTATTGGTGAATTCAACTTATCTTTGAGAGAAAATATACTCATTTAGTGACTCTTCAAATGTACAAGAACAAATCTTTCTCAGCTTCAAGTGAACAAGCTACTCTATATCATATGTTTAGATTTAAACAAATATACCTTGACCTCATTTTCTTTCTTTTTTAAAGAGAAAAATCACAATTCTAATTGTGTGCATGATTCAATGCCTATGACATTTAGTGTATAGTACATGTATATGTATATTTTTCCTCATCTCTCTATGTATCTCATTCTAATTCTATCTTTTCATTATTAGCCTGACAATACATGATGATACTTACTTTTTCCTCCTCTCTCTACATCTTCTCTGTAGGTGCCCGAGAGCATAGATACAGAGAAACATCTGTACTGTGTCTTGAATTGGTTGGGAAACGAGGCAAATGAGTTGAATCCAAACTGTAGGGAAGAAAAGTAAAGGTAATGAAATATAAACTGAACTGTGATGACAGGGCATTTACTGCTGCTTCACTCCCACTTCGGAATTCCCTACCCTATTTGATAAAATATCCTTTTTAAAAAACCTTGAAGATCTATCTTATGTCAAAAGAATTAAGTTCAATTCAATATTTTCCACTATGTTTTTCATTCAATATCATGTTTTTGCTTAGTCTCTTCTAATTTTCTACACATTGATTTCCCCACTATTTTTAATATGCATGTTGTTAGGTGCCTTCCTGAGGATTTATTGCTCATAACATGAAAGTCTCTGTACAAAGCCAATGCAAAATGCATCAAGAAAATCACTGCGGAACCCGTTTTTCACATCGACAACGCGCAGATTAGAATTCAGAATCGTCAGCGAAAATGTGGATGATCCTTATTTGTGCGGACGTGTCTGTCCGTGTTTACAAAGACGATCCATATTCTCGGACCAGCATCCCCCACTGGTCACACTCAGCGAGTAAGCTAGCACTGTAGCACCTCGTCTCATCATTCATACTCGGAGTCAGAATCATAGTCATACTCATATTCATAGGCATAATATTGATCAATCATGCCTATGATTATTGCGCAACTCTCACCATGCTCACAGGATCAGGACACACACAACAGACACGTATGACTCGACATGATTTGTCACAAACACAAAATTAGAATGTCGTCCAAAGCCTCCCTCAATCAATTATTTCAATCAATTGCACTTTCGAATGATCATTTTCATAATTTCTAGTTAGAGTAAATGCAAGCAAACTCACCATTATGGCAAATATGCTCCTTTTTCAAAACGTTGATTTCACAGTGTATGGTCGGGCTGTTTGTTGTGATTCTTGATATAAAAATGGATTAAATAGCAGCTTGAATTTCGTAGAGCCAAGTGATGATCTTATTGCCAATTTATAGCTAGCTTAGTGATGTCGTAAATAAAATAATAATCTAATAAAATGTTTTAATATAAGAGACATTGTCAATTTAAAATGTTTTATTTGTTTTATTTAAATTAAATTACATTAAATGGTTTGAAATCTATGCTTCGAAGTACATGCTCTCTGCACAAAGAACGGGGAACAAAAGACATACACTGTAAGAAAGTTAAGAATAAAATTAGATTGAATAAAGATTAAGAATAAATGTTGGAGTAAAAAATAAGTAGAGAGAAGAGGACGAAGAAAAAAATGGGAGAAGAAAAAATAAGAAAACCAAACAAAATCCATACAACAGTTTATAATGGCTTGTCTTTAAATTGTTAACTTAATAATCCATTATATATCCTCTAGCTTCAGTACTTCACCTCTTGACCTCATCTCGCGGGAAAAATGATTTGAAGCTCGTTGACTTTGTCGCCAGATTTGCACATATTTATTCCTTATTTAGAAACAAAATGTTCATTACAGATATACGGACACAATTCTATGACGTCATTTTACATCATGTAAGTATTTTATACTGTATTTTCAAAATATAGACTTAAAAAGAATTATTTTTATTTCTGTTGATTCGCATCGTCGCATTTGAAGTCCGGTCCCATATGTGCTTTTCCATGTTTGTTATTTTTATATTACTTTTGTTGTTGGAAATGGGCACAAAACTCAAGAAAAGACACAAGTCTCAAACTCTCAATTAAAGCTGGTCATCAGGCAATTAGAGTTACTTCCGTTATTTCTAATATTATTTCTGCTTGGACCTTAGGCTTTCAAGTCTACTTTAGCAATGATACAAAAAAAATGATTGATTCAAAATCAAACTAAGTCAAACTCAGTCTCAAAGATTGATCATTTGGCGCTTGTTCAGAAGCCTACCCAAAATTGACCCGTAACTCCGGCGTGGAGATACTCTATTAAAACATACCCAAAATGGAGTAAATATTCATTAAATGTCCAAATAAAGATCATGAGTTCAAAGTCGTTATGACTAAGCCTAACGTTAGAATCTAATATAAAGTTAGGGTCTAACTATCTAGTTTATTACCTGTTTCGTGTAAATTTTCATGTTATTTTTGGAGTATTTTTCGGATAAAAGTTGATATTACTTATTAGTATACACTTTTTCACAGGTTTCATGGCAAACCGCTGCACAATACAAGTGCATACTGATGGTGGGTTTCGGGCGGGCGAGTGCCTGTTTGAAGTTATCTACCGTAATGTCTCAGATCCTCACAGGGTGCTACAAGAATTTTTTTCACCACTTGCCCTGTCGGGCAAGTGGGTTTTCAATTTACTTGCCCAAACAATATTTCCACTTGCCCAAAACTTTAAAGCGAAAAAGGACTCGAGGTTAAAGCATTTATTATCTCGTAATGATAAGTTAGTGTTTTAGATAGCAAATTAATGCACATACATGTACAGTGTAACTGTACTGAATAATAACCTAATATGTCAAAGAAAATGGTCAACAAAGGATGGTTGAAGGTTTAAAAAACGCATTTTATTGATTCTCCATAAATAATCAGATTCACATGAATCTCGGCAAGGTAGAATGGTTCAAGCAGGTTTAAGTTTTTAATATTCAGTCATGTAAAAAAGCATAATGACCCTGTTGTAAAAAATATGATACAAACATGTCATTAATGGTAGCCACATGTACCATGGTGCAACATCACATGTGTGTCTGTGCAAGCCGCTGTCATTTGGAAACGTAGGCTAATTTTCAGCTGTTAATAATTTGGGTCAACTCTTCCATCAAGAAACGTCATGTAAATAATGGGTAATCAACTATTTTAAATAAAGTACGGACATTTTTATTTCATCATTCACTGCTATAAATATCATGCCAAAATTTGTAAATTCTTACTAAATAATAATATTGAAGATATTTTACGATAAATCTCGGATAAGTATGCGAAAACTAGACTAAACAACGTCGCTAAAACCATGAAAACAAAACAACAACGGCTTATATTCTGGGGGTCTCGATACTATTATCAAAATGACTCGCTCGGTCGGATCTTGAGACCGCAGTAATAAATTGAAAACGAGACAAAAACATTCATCTGATTTATATGAGCAGCGAGTTTTAAATAATATGTTCACAATCATTAACAGTCATTATGAATAAATATCAAACATTTGACTTTTTGTACTTACTAGAAAATCCCTGTTGTTTATTCCATTCCGATTCGCACGTGTTCATTTCCCTAGAATAATGACGTCATATTTGGCGTGATTCAACCAATCGGCAATCAGAGAATAGCATAGGCCTGTCGGTGCGGCCTGCAGAGCTAGAGAGAGAGAGCGCGAATAAGCTCGCAGCTGGTACGATCGCGCTAGCTGTCTCTAGCTAGCTCACGGCCGGCCGTGCGTGGAGGCGGAGCGGCATTCATGGCTTGAAGTGTCACTGTTGCATGCGCGCTGAGCTAGCTGAGCTGGCTAGCTGTCTGTGAAGTTTTTTCGAAATCGGAACGATCGCTTTTTTGCTTCTGGATTTTGACGACGGGTAAGAAGTTGACGGGTGAATGGTAGAGTTCTTGGACACTAGGAAATTACTGTAAAAGTATCACTTGCCCGAATCGGGCAAGTGATAATTTGATTTACTTGCCCGACGGCTCAATTTGGTTGCCCCGGGACGTCGGGCAAGCGGGTTTGTCGCGCCCTGCCTCATTACGGCGGTAGATAACTAACTTTACACAGGCGCGCGTGCGCCTGCCCGCAACCCACCTTCAGTATGTGCTTGTATTGTGCAGCGGTTTGCCGTGAAACCTGTGAAAAAGTGTATACTAATAATAATATCAACGTTTATCCGAAAAATACTCCAAAAATAACAAGAAAATTGACATGATTATGAAACAGGTAATAAACATAATGAATATTTAGTACTGTTTTAGTAAGGTATCTCCACGACAGAGTTATGGGTCAAATTTTGGATAGGCTTCTGAACAAGCGCTGATCATTTTGTCATTTTTGATACAAAATCAAAATCTTGTATGGTTATAACTGTTAAATTTAACTTAGTTAAGACTTAAGTTTTAGTTTACTGTTTAGGTTGCACATGTCAAAACCTGTCAAACTGTCAACCAATTCAAAACTTGTCTTAAGAATAAGAAGTTAAGACACAATTGTTCAAAATTGCTTTTGTTTTGATGATTACCTTTACTCTGTTCACATTTGATGTAGTCGAGTCTAGGCCTATAATATTCCATATGCATTGACTATTAGTATTATTATTGTATTGTTATAGACCTATGACTTTTGTAGGTTTATTTGTAATTTTTTGTTTTGTTTAATATGTAATTGTTTAATTTTTTAAAATTGTATTGTGTTTGTTATAGCGCTAAGACTAAGAGACGTGCTTGGAACGTGCTTTATAAGTTATAAAATATAAGTGCTGTTTTTATTATTATTATTGGCATTGCACTTTACAGCTAAGAAGTTACAGGAGTAATATTAATATCATATTTTACCTTAATATCATCATCACTTCAGTTAAGTCAAAATAAAAACTGCATTAACAGTACAATCTCACAGGCACAGATCAGACATTTACATTTACATTAAAAGAAAGGGAAAAGATTTGACATGATCATGCCTCGTGCCATGGGCTGGCAATTTTTTTTAATTCGTTTCCCCCGTCAGCACATCTTGATCTAAACAGACTTAATGATGTTTTTTTGCATAATTTAATAGGGATGGTTTCCAACTAATAGAGAGTTTGTGTGTGCACTGTGTGTGCATGATGATGTTGATGCAGTATAAGGGCAACAATTGAAAAACATTAAGAAAAACAAACAGACAAAAAATAATCACTCTTGATCTTAACTTTGGATTGCCTAGAAATCACAGAATGGGAAGCAATGACATTTAAGCTAAAACCTTTAAATCAAGAATATTTTTTTGTTTCTCTCTCCACAGAGGGTGTTGGTCCTAGTTGCTGATGACGTTGATGCAATATGTGCATGCAAGATCCTCCAGACTTTGCTCCAATGGGATCACGTTCAGTACACCCTGGTTCCTGTATCAGGCAAAGACGATGTAGAACAAGCTTTCCTGGAACACTCTGAGCAGGTAGGTCGCCTCTAATCCAGGCTTTTTTTAAAACGGTGTTTACCCTTGGTCCAAATCAAAAAGGAAACTGTCTTTGTGGTATTTCTGTAGGGTAGTTTAAGAGACCCAAAACCGTTTTGGAGGCGTGTGTGTGTGTAATTGAGTTTTTACAGATGTGTATCAACTATTAATCAGATTTGATTATTTACGTCTGGGGACCGACCTTTAATGTCACCATCCGAAAGTTGAAAGGCTTACGGTATGCTTTCTGAGTATCCTTTTCACAAGGCAACACCAAAGAGTTTTATGGCCAGTCCACCTAGTTTTTTTCTTGTTGGTTGAACAAAAAATTTAAGAGATGCAGTGGGTTTTATGTATTGATATTTACAATATCAATTACTGGTATTTGTCTTCTTCAGCTCAAGTATGTGGTGCTGATAAACTGTGGCGGGACTGTAAATCTGCTGGAATCGTTGCAACCTGATGAAAATGTAGTCTTCTTCATATGTGATAGCCATCGACCTCTCCATCTGTGGAATATCTACAACGAAACCCAGGTCAGTCAGTCCTTGAAATTCCTCTCCCATGGTATTGAATCATTTCGTTGGATAAATACAACAAGACAACCGTTCGAATTCACTAACTTAGGCAGTCAAAGGACTGAATCGCTGAGAATGACTTAACAAATCAACCAGATTCATTATAAGATTATATAAGAAAAATTAATAATTTTACGAAAATGCTATGGACTCTTTTGTTTGAGTTGAGTTTGAGTTTGAAGTAATTATCCAGACAAAAAGTACATCAATATATTCAACAATTAAATGTGAATGCTGCAAGCTAGAATGGTTTATTCATCTCGAATTGCAGTGGAGTTACAAATGTACCTCTAACTTCCTGCAGACATTTTGGAGGAATCGCTCTTTTGTTCTCTTCAAAGATTAAATGACAAATGTAGAAGTATTCAAAAGATATGTATGTTATGCAGAGCATACAGAGGGCTCTTTCAGCCTGCAAGAAAAAAATACAGATGCCAGAAACTAAAATCCCTTTGTCCAGTACAATATTTTAATATATTTGTATGTGTTGTTTTGTAATACAGATCAAACTTTTGATGAGCCCTGATGATGACTTTGATATACCATCGTATGAAGAAGTCTTCAGAGATGACGAGGTAAAAGATTTATTCAGTAGAATTTCAATTACAGAATAGTATTGCTACAATATAAATCTAATTATCCATAGCAAAACCCCATATCCTGTAGCATGTCATTAAAAATGTGAATCATATGGTAAAAACAAAGGCCCGTAATTTTGAATATTCCATCGTATGAAGAACTCTTCTGTCGGGATACCATGTTACAAGCATTTTTCTTTTCGGTGTTCCTAACCATAATTTTATTTACTGTTTTCAATTGATATACTGTTATTGTTTTCATTTGATGTTATTTTATGGTTGGTTGAATAAATACAAAAATTATGAGGTAAATGATTCTTTTAGTAGAATTTCAATTACCGAATAGTTTTGCTAAAATGTAAATCAAATTTTTCATAACAAAAACCAAACATTTGTAGCATATCATTAAAAATGTAGTATCACTAAATTGTGAAATTTTGTAAATAACAAAGGCCCATTATTTTGAGAGATTATAATGAACAGTCTTTGTGACTTTTTGTTAAATTTTTGTAGTCGGACAGTGATGACTCTGGGGCGGAAAGTGACTCATCAGAACCAACGGGCAAGAGAAGAAGATATGATGAGGTATGTATTATTAATTGCTACATGTTGCTGTGATGTATAATATTTGACTTGTATCTAAAATGGGTATTCAAAGACACAGCCCACATGATGAAAGTAAAGTATGAGTACAGAAATGAACTGTTTACAAATAACCAGTCTACCAGCCAAAATATCCATACTACAAAACAAATTAACAGAAGTCATTTGTTATCACTTTATTACACTTAATGAAGCTTACATGCACTGAGGGAGAGCTTATGTTACAGTTGTATGCCGTATTCTAAATCTTTCTTGTGCATGAAAAAATAAAACTAGATTAAATATTCATGCTTCTAGAAGAAACTTTTTTTAGATAAATTTCTATCCCTAAATCCATTTATGTTTTATATGCAGGATGCTCTGGTACGGAAAATGAACAGACGACAGGAGAGGAGAAACTGGGACGATAAAAGAAGCAAGATCCTGTTTGACTACGAAGAGTTTTCCTATTATGGTTCTTCTGTAAGTAATGGGTATACAACTTTCTCACTGTTATATCCAGAAGAAAGGGTTTGAATATTTATGATTTTAATGTATTTAAAAAAAAAAAAAATATCTCAAGGCTTAAAGAGAAGGCATGAGTTCTGGGAAGAGGTGACAAATAATTTGTGAGCGTTATCATTGATATTATGCAAGTGTGGAAGAACATCAGAGAAAAAATGTTCCCTGAAAAACATGGCTCTTCAAATGCCTTAAAGGTATTACAAAGTTTTGGTATGGGGTCATGAATTTGGTTCAAATTAACATATTGGAAGCATATGCGGTCCTACAACATACATTGATCGTTGTCGCGGTTGAAATCGAGTCTAAAGTTATGAAATTATAAATAATAAACTCTTTATGTTGTATAGCTCCCTCTCAAGGTCAAGATATTAATTTAGCTATGAAACAATGCTTCTTGACTAAAATCGACCGATTAGCTATTCCCGTTTGGAAATTATATATCCCAACTACATATTCTGAGATTTTCATGGTCGCAGCTACCATTGTACGGCCGTAGGCGCTATTTGAAATTTATCAACATTTACCGGGAGCACCGGTAAATTTTTATATTCAATTTTTCTCGAAAACAGAAGTGTTGTAGGGGCTAATTTTTTTAGTGCTTATAATACATCCACAGGGGCATAAAAATATATCAAAATTGTAAAGATTCACTATCCACCCAATTTTCAAAATTTCCCAAAACTTTGTATTACCTTTAATATTCTCAATATGGCATGTAACAGCATACAAACAGGGACAGATTTTTATGCCACATGTTCGTGTAGTCCCATATACTTCTTTCTGTGTACAGTGCTTGTAACTTTACCAAGACTTGGTCAAATTTCTAATCATTTTGATGATTCCAGAACCTTGCATTACACACCAATACTTATATGATAGATGATCAACCTTTTCTGATCGATTCCACACCATTTCTTTCACAATGCAATCGCATGACCAGTACTCAACTTTATCTTTAAGTTGAGAATTTAATATTAAGGTATTGAAACAAAATATAATGCCATCTTACTGGCACCCTCATTCAGATTTTTACTGTACATGATTATAGTCCCAGACTTCGCTCTCTCCGGTGCAGTGTATCCTATCAAACTATGCATACAAAAATATTGTTTGTAACATTCTTTGTTCATTAAAGTCTCTTTTTGTATCAAAGTTTTGTTAGCATAATAATTTCAAAAATCTGTAATCAAATGTTATTTCACAATGAAACATTGATATCAAACTTAGTGAAAAATGTTGCACCTTTGATTGTCTTGACCATGAATTGCCTATTAATATGATCACATAAAGAAATGAATTATGCATTTTTTATTCTTTTGTTATCATTGTTAGGCTGCTGTGGTGATGTATAACTTAGCATGGAAGAAGTCAAAGGACACTAATGACTTGCTTTGGTAAGTTTTACAGCTTTGATTAAGTACCTTACATAGTACATTATTTCTTTCTTTCCTTTTTTGGAACACCATCCTGATATCAAATTGCTTTGAAATAGATACAAAAAAGTGACCATTGGAAGTTTAGAAGATAAACGTTCTATCTTTGTTGTTTTGTTTTTGTCAGTTAATAGTCAATGAATCAGTAACATAATAGCAGAACCGTTTCTGCTGCTGTAGTGCTATGTGTATACTACATTTAACCTCAATTTGGCCTGTGGCTGGAACTAATCCAAAGCAAAGATGAATGAAGGTTATTAGCCTCTAATTATCCAATCTTATCTTGATTTGCTAGTTTTGTATGGTTCATTATGTAAAAAATGTATTCTATTGGTCTTGATGTACTTTGTAAACAAGAGCAAACAAAGTAATTATGAATGCTTATCCGTTGATCAGGTGGGCTATCGTAGGGCTTACAGATCAACTCATTCACAAGAAGATTGACAGGTAAGATTTCAATCATCATTTAGTTTATGATAAGATTAGTAGGGATAAGTAAAGAAAAAAGTTTTTTTTAACTATGAATAATGTGTTATAAATGAATTCTTTTTGTGTTAATTTTGTCTTCACCAAAATGGAGCAAAGTGATATATAAATTCACATTTAAATGTTGGGGAAAAAAAGAAATGAAATCTCCTTGATAGATAACAGATTTTTTTCTTCTTTCCATTTATAAATAAAGCCTTGAACCAGACCTAATCATATATGATGTCAAGAGATATCTTTATCACACAAGTATGTTCTTTCTTCCTAACATGCTAGTACATATATAGCAATGGTTAGGGCAGATTGAAACCCTGTTACACCATGCATTAATGCATGCTAGTGAATTCCATCCTGTGATGAAATTGTGTAACAAACGTTACATGAATACTACAGAATTTATTTAGATTTTCCACAGTCTCTTAACAGTTGTAAATGTTTATTGTTTATGACAGAAAGAGAATTCCATTTTGTGTAAACAAAAAAGAAGTAATAATTTCTATGTTCACTGTTGAATTGATCTAAATTTTCCACAATGTTTCTTAATGAATGTTTATGACAGGGAGAAGTATGTATCGGATGTGACAGAATTGAATCGTCATGTTGCGCGTCACAACCATAGAGGAGAAGACGAAGAAAACACTGTCTCGGTCAACACCATGAAGATCTCCTTCTTGCCTGAGTATCCTTTCCATGAAATGATAATAAAAATAACATGGAACAATTAACATTTACAAACATTATTCATGTTAGCATTCTGCCTTTTTAAAATATTCAGAGTGGGTCCCCACCATGACAATCATTTCATGCGATTTTTGAAGAAGGCTTCCAGCTTGTTTTTTTTAAATGGCTGCCACTTGGACTAGAAATTACATATAGTGGCTTATTATGAGCTAGATGCATTCGAATATGACGCTAGAATTAAATAACTATGCAAAATAAAAATGGTAGTATTGTTAATTGTTATGAAGAGAGAGGGGGAATTTCATAAGAAAGCTCTTGTCTTTCATTTTTTTTTAACCAAGAGGTGGTTTATTCCTTAACCGTTGATGATTTTAGTCTCCAACTAGTTCTGTACAGACATTGGTCTATCTTTGAGAGTTTGAAGCACTCATCATACACAGCATGCAAGTGAGTAAAATGTACTTGTACTCTAAAAGTACCGTCACAAGATTAAATAGAAGTAGAGGAGAAGAAGAAAAAAGAGCAGAAGACAAAAAAAGAAGAAGAAGAAGAGGAAGAATGAAAAGAAGGAGGGGGAAGGAAAAGAAAAATAGGGAGAAGAAGAAGAAGAAAAAAAAATTGAAAAAGAAAAGGAGGAGTAGAAATATATAATGGGATTCATGATACATTTCAAAAGTCGCATCAGCAGAATGATCAACGCTGTGTGGTGATGAATATGAAAGTGTAGGAAATATAGGAGTGGGATTACAAGTGCATAGTTGTAGCTTTATTGGTTGTGCTAGCTCCTGTAGGTGTTCGTGTGATAGTTGTGATCATAGATTATACATGCAGTACCAAAAACTTGCAAAATGTAATACATAATACCTTGTATATTGTCGCTTCTCTTTTCATTCCAGCCTCAAGCTATGGACACTGAAAGGTCAGAAGAAGCTGAATGAGTTCTTGGCCGACATGGGTCTGCCTCTGGCTCAATGTCAGCAGAAGTTCTCCGCTATGGACATCACCTACAAGAACAGCATTAGGGAGCTCCTGGAAAGCTCGGCAAGAAAGTTTGGGTAGGCCAATTTTTGATCAAATATTTAATGGGTTTTTATAAAAACACTCTTGTCATTAGAGAGTCAGTAATTGTCTTTGTTTTTCAAAGTTTTCTGTTAAATTTCATTTCAAGATAATGTTACATGCAGAATGATATGACTATGGACCACAGGGTATGGGGTACAAATCTCTTTGCTTTAGGTAGAATTTAGGTCGTTATGTGGTGCTCCAACATTTGTTCTGGCTAGAATGCTCTAGACTTTATATAATATCAAAGATATCGAGTGAAGAATAACCAGTTTTAGGTTTCGTTTAAGGTTAGGTATAGTATTTGGTCCATGGTTGTAGTTAGCAACCCAGTTAGTGTACTGTAGGAAATTTACAATGGAGCAGTTGTTTCCATAGAATGTATTGTACAACTCCTTCGCATTAGATATTAATCAACATTTGCCAATCTCAATTCATCTGTAGTAGGAAGAAATCCCTTGAATGGTTTAGTGCATTATCATGGCATTTTGACTAAAAGCAAATGATATCCAGTGCATTTGACAGGTGTATTGAGTCACTGTTTTGCATGCCATGCATGAATAGTATGTTTGAGCATTATGAGTTTACCTTTTATTCACAGACTGGAGAACATTACGTTACCATCGTTCCTTGCTCAGTATGGATTCAAGAATAAGGTGAGAGAAAAATTAATGATGTATTTATCAGGAATCTCATATTTACAGGCAGAAGATTGCATTGCTGAATCTGTCTCATTGCAAACTACTTTTTTTATTATTGAGTGCTCGATTTATTTTGTGGTGAAATATATGAATATTACATGTATGCTATGTTTGAGCAATCTGTCCTAATGAAAATTGATATGAATACATTTGTGGCTTGTCAATAGGCATACATATGTACTTCATACCTCATACTTCATACCTCAGAGAGAGAAAGAGAGGGGGAGAGACAGAAAAACAAAGAGAGAGAGAGAGAGAGAATGAGAGATAGTGAGAGAGAGAAAGAGAGAGAGAGAGAGAGAGAGAGAGAGAGAGAGAGAAAGAGAGAGAGGGGGGACTATGTGGGAACTTTCTGTTCAGAATGTTTGATGATCGTGGGAGTAGAGAAACGGTTATTGAAAATTATAACTTTAATTGCCTCGAGGAAATTGCAAGGGGTAAATATAATTCAGGGCTTCTCGAATGCGAAGAGATATGCAGTCACAGTTTTAATTTATTACAAACCCGATGAATAAAATATCTTTCATTACTTAACGGGACTTAGAAAGAAAAAGGGGCATTTATCTGAAGTAAAAGAGGGAACTCTTGGGGTAATTCAAAGAGGGGCGGTACTGATCAATTAATCATTAATGGGGGTTGTCTATGATTACATTCAGTTATTTATGGTGGATTGTTCAAGCAAAGACAAAGCTGATCCTTATAAGCCAACTCAGGAGTAGATGTTCTATAAGAAATAAAAGGTTCACACAGTTTATTAGAAATAATTGCAATTTCATTATAGGATTGTCTGCATTTCATAATATTTTTTCCCCATCTCTACCCAGTTCTGTGCCTTTGATATTGCATATGCAGTAGAAGCCATCTTAGAATCAGTGGTAAGTATCTTCTGTCCTCTCAGACTTTTTTTTTTCCTTCTACTTGCTGTCCTTTGTGTCTTGCCTTTATGTGGACCAATATTGTCCACTTGATGCCAATTTTTAGCATTGTTAAAAACGCCATTGTGTGTCTTTTTGTCCACCATGGAATGTCTTTTTGTTACATGTAGGTGATCAGATAAATAGTAGCTGTTTTTCCTTCCTCAAGCAGAAACACTTATGAGCCTGATAAGTTAACTGATAACAGAATGAAAAATGAATTCCCTTTCAGTATTGTACAAAAGCAAATGAAAGCCTTGTTTCCTTCACCCCTCAAAATTACGGGTCAACGGGTCAAATTTGCCGCATTTACGGTGACGACATAACATGTGGACCTGATCGACTCCCCTATATAGCTGAGGCGATGAGCCATGCTTAATTAATGCAAAGTCATTGTGAATATGTGTACTCCACGTTATATGATGTCATCAACTCGATAAATAGTTTTTAGGTTGAAAACTTCTGATTTCAAAGGTTTAGATTTCAAGTTTTCAGAGAGCTGTTACTCCTCTGACAGACAAATTGCATATAATTGATAGTATTGTAATCTTTGGCTCATAGGCTTTCCGTTGATATGATTAGTCTATTTCATTTTTCACTTTCAACAGGGTCTTTAAACATTTTATGGATTTGACTTTTAGTAGGTAACAATCATGGCAACTAAACATTCAACGAATGATATTCATCTCAAATTTCTGTGACAAACCGATCAGACTTTTATGCATATGGACATTTGTTCCCCCATAGGATATCGTCTGTTTGGAGGCAGAAGGGAATTAACTCATATACTTTCCCACAGGCTTTGAACAAACGATATACATTCTGCTCTAATTTTAAGTGAAAGAACTATATTCAATTTGACTATTGGAAGTTAAACTACATGTGTATTTATTTATTTACATTATTTTATTCACAGGACAAGAACAAGTCATCAGAGGAGAGGTTTTTGGATGCACTAGATTGTCTTTCAAGGTAAATATTAGTGTTATTTTTAAGATACAGTAAAGAATAACTGGTACTTTGTTTTGTAACAGGGCCATGCATACATGTACACACATTTACGACATCATCTGAACACCTGCTTTTTATTTTATCTTACTGAGAGCTAACTCTTCCGCCCAAGTTCATCAAAAAACGTGTATCTCAACTGAGGGCCAAAACCTCCATAGTATGTATGTGTACTCATGCACAGAGGGCCGGTGATATTTCCCTTCATGTATATAAGTTTACTGTTATTTGAATGTATTGTGGAGGTTTTAAATATGAGTTTATATGCCATGGGTTAAATCAAACCTTTGTCAATTCAGGCTTTTAATGTTGGAACCACTCAAATATATTTGTTGGTATATCTTAAGTTAGCTTTGTTGCTATGTTGGGACTGGGTCGTAAATCATGCTGAAACTTTTCCCACAGGTCGTACATCGACAAATTACACAAGGGATTGGATGCATCTAAACTCCAGCTTCAGGCCGTGGTCATTCAGGTCCAGAGCCTACTGGACATGGGTCAAGTGGTCAGTGCTGGACCTTTCCTCTACGCCTTTTTGCCTGAGGGGACACCGGAGACCAAGTTCTTTGCCCATCCCAACTGTCTGTCCATGCTGGCAAGGTTTGCTCTGGAGGCCTATGTTAAGATGGTGAGTCGAGTCTGTGATTTTTTTGATTTTTTTTTATTTGTTGTTGAAATCATTTCTTTTTTGAAAAAAAAGGGGAGTGAAAGAGTTTATATAATCATGTAGTGCAATATCAAGTCTATTGTAAGATAGAGATACAACTATAAATGAGTTTAGTAGATTATTGTTTGTTTTGTTGTTTGATTTTTTAATTGTCTATTTTTATAAAATATTAATTATTACTATATTATATAATATGTAATTTTGAATTTTGTTATCAATTAATTATTACAAAATTGAGACTGATCCTACTTGTTTGGATTATAATCAATAACATTTGAATTGAATTTGATTGAATTGTAGTCATCTTGTACTTAATACAGCATAACTTGGAGGCTAAGTCTTAGGCAGTGGACATTTCAAGCTTCTTCTTTTTTGTTTTTATTACCCTGTTGCATGTTTTGTGCTTTGGTCCTTCAAACTGGAATAGTTGCAAGTTTCTTGTTTTCATTTCAACGTTTTATTTTTCATTCTCTAATTCCAATTTTCTTGTGACAGTCTAAGAGCAAGAAAGCCAAGAACCTTCCATTGGTGATGACAGCCCCTCTCAACTCCGAGACAGGCACATCTCTGGTGATCGGGGTTCCTCCTCTACCGGAGCTGGAGCAGTCTTCAAGAAAGTAAGTACCACCAGCCAGAGTAGTTTCATTTGCTTTATTTCATTTCATTTCATTTTTTCCCCACATTCTTACTTAAAAAACATGCAAATACTTAATAATGTACCTTATAAAATACAAAGGAATTATGTTGAGACACATCTATATTCTGACACCCAAGTGTTTTGAAACCCCAATTGTTTAGACACTCTGTTTTCTTACACCACTGTGTTTGTAGACTCCTTATATTTTGATCAACTCTAAAACATTGGGTTGAGTGTGGCAAAAATGCACATTAGTCCAAAATCAAATCATATCCAATGAAGTAATAAATTACTTTTGCTATGTTTCTTTGTAGTTTCTTTGGCCGTGCTTTTGAGCAAGCTGGAAAGAAGACTGGTTCAAGGACTCTTCACAACCACTTTGATTCATCAAGTAAGTATATTTGGTTCATTAGTTTTTCTACAGATAATATCATAATATCTTGTCTCCCCAATGAAAGGTAGAAACTGGTGGCAGCCATTTGCAGATAGGCAAAGGTAGTCACTCAATGTGACCATATATGTTTATGCAGTTCACTTCATATTTGTATTGCCTATGATACAAAAACTACAATGATTTGGCATGGCATTTAACAGTGACAAATTTGAAGATATCAAAATCTTCATTTCTAGAATTACCAGTGTATTGCCCCTGAGACAATGTAGGACCGAGTGCTGCTAAATATTTTGATAAATACAAATTAATATTTCATCTTTGTTTTATATATTATGTTACCTTCATTCTTCAATCATTTTTTTTTTACTCTCTTTATATTCCCCATATTTCTTTCTTTCTTTCTCTATCTCTCTCTCCCCCCACTTCTCTACCCTCTCTATCTCACTCTCCCTATCTTTATCTCTGTCTCCCCTCTTTCTCATCGTACAGTTATGGAGCTAAAGACAGGAGACAGAAGCAAGTTCTTTGATGCTCTGATATCATTGTTATCATAGGAAAACAAACATAAGAAAACAACCAGGTAAATTCAATGGTGCAGACAAGTTTAAACCTGTAGGCAAACAAGGTACAATTCTCTATGTCTCTTAATGGAATCATGAATAGTTGTAAATTTAAATCTAATATACAGTTAACAACTAAATTACTCATACCTTTACCAAGTTTTAAACATTTTAAGTATGTGAACAGTTCATTTATCCGAAATTGTGTTTCTTGAGAATGTGACATATTACAGCTTACATCAAATAATATTCAATGAAGGCCCTAATTCAACCAATCCACCTTTCATCCTTGAATTACAACCAAAAAGCCAAAAAACATCAAATTTTCAAGGGGTATGATAATGTAATTGTTAACTGTAAGTATTTACATTGTACAAGTCTTCACATTTGGATTTCTGTATGATAGTGTTACCCTTGAACAGGATTTAGCATTTTTTAGCATAGAGTTGTCGTGGTCAAGTGGATATGTCACCGGACTGTGGTTCACAACGTCTGCGTTTCTAGTCCCGCCGCAGTACTAATGTCTTTTGGCAAGATATTAATCTACATTTGCCACACTCAACCCAGGTGAGGTAAATTGGTACCTAGGAGGATTATTCCTTGACATACACTGTGCGCTGATAACGGCTGCCGGAGCCAAAGCTAGGGTAATAATTTCCAAAGCTCTTTGGAAGCGAATAGAGACTTTATACCATAATGTGTTATGCGCTATACAAGAACAGACTATTATATTTCCTTCTGTTTAATTGTACATCCTTTTCATCTAGAGATCAATCTTGGGCCAGTCGAATGTGTGTCTTTCCAAGAACTCTTTTGATATTAAAATAAGTAATCTTTCCAGAAAATTGAAAGGCACTGGCGTATGAAGATGGATTGCTTGAGCCCCATTTGCACTTGATTAACCGGCACCAGAAACATGCATGTGTCTAGCATTAGGTGCTGGGAGGAACTACATGTAGCACCTGATAGATAATGCAAATATAGACCATGATTCAGGGAAATGTTTAGAATTACACTACTGTATTTATATTGTTTGTCCATATGTGCATTAAAATGCATCATATACCTTTAATAAATGGATTTCTGTTATATAATATTAACTATGATTTATAGCATGTTAATGCTAGTTCCCTTGTACATATTATGTAAATAGATGTTTTTTGATACATTTATTTGTAAATACATGCAATTGTATAAAAAATAGAGTATACACTATATGTGTTGCGTCCTTGTGTTGGAGTGGCTACCACATATATAAGTAAGATAAGATAAGATAAGAATAAACCCCCCTCTGAGAATTTCCTATTCAAGGATTGGTCCAGAACCGTTTATGTGACCTTTTTTAAAAGAGTAACATTGTAACTAAATTTCATTTTCATTTCCTTTAGAATAAGATAAGTTTTCACTAGTTTGCAAATTCGTAATGATCAGTTGTGCATGCTTGTAGACATTACTTCTTATCTGGCCGGTCAAGTGAGTTGCTCTCAGCTGCATTTACAAACAGCCAAGTTATATATACATGTATACGATTGGACTGCCGTCTGCGAAGCAGCAGCACAGGCAAGTTTTAATTCTCGCTGGCTGACTAAAATAACCTTATTTTCCTGTGACATCACTAAATAGTAGTACGAAGATAATTAGGCCATTACTTTCCTTGACGTATATATTTTTCATAATAAACCTAATAATTCAATAATAAGGGATATAAAACTAATATACACTGTATTTCGTCCAGGCACCATGGAGTAGTACTATTTCCTTGGGGATGTGTCCTTATGGAAATACAACTACGAGTATAGCGGCAGAGCAGTGTATATTGTAATGCTATGAATAGAACATCAGAGGTTCATTTATATTGTATGGCTATTTATGATGTGCATGCATACATACTTTTTTTTCAGTGCATGTGTATAGGAATAAGAAATTATCTTTAATAACATTTTACAAAATACATTGTGTGTAAGAAATCTAAGTCCTGAAACAAACTCTTCAACTTTATCACGTAGGATAATTACTCATTTGTCAATCGTGGGCCCTGTCCTATAAAGAGTTGTGATTGATTTGGATCAAATGCAAGTTTGAAGTCCACTATCTCTTATGTTCATAGTTGCGATTGATATCGATTACAAATAAGTTGCGGTTGATGTCAACTCTTTATAAGACGGGGCGCTTGTGTTACTTACACTCTTATATCACTGTAAAAAACATATTTATCTATTATTTGTGGAAATAAAGCATGTACATGTATATGTCATTACGATAAAGAAAATTGATTAGCTGTAATTTGTTATACAATTGTCTGTTCTATTGATACTTAGTCTAGATTCAAAAGTGAGAAAAGTGCTAGGGTATTCACAGGCTCAATGTTCATGATGTCAGTAGTCTTGAACCCTGGCTCAATAGTAGTTGCATCATCAAACTCATGAAATCTGACCCCTTTTTGCCACCGATGCCATCTAAAACATTGGGGAAAAGTTACAGCATAACCATTCAGGTTTAGCCCCTGAAACGGTCCCTATTCAGATTGATTTCACCCCGCTTACCCCATGCACAAAACTGTGTACATTGGGAGTAGTATAATTGGACATTACAGAACATATAGACCGAAAACAATTCTGTTAGGATGGGTTGTAAGATGCCACTAAAAATTTGGTTCAATTATGCCTCATAGAGCCAATGAACTAAATTTTATCATCAGGAAGAGTTGTTGCTGTTACCATACATCTCAAATATATACAAAAAATTACAAAAACAACAAAGTGCCCTTGGATAAAAGATAATTGACTTGTCACTTCCCTCCAATTCCTTCTTAGTAGCAGTTGTAGAGCTGCCAACCAGCGATTTAAAGGTAAAGACCAGTATTGGAAACGCCCCAATTTCAAAAAATGAAATGGAAGCTCTCATTACCAATCATGTGAAAGAATATGTTTTGACTAATACATGATGATAAAAAATTTGCCGGGAAACCGCCAACTAATTCATTATATTTGGTAAATTTGTTTCTCTCATGGTCTGTGAGAGATATAGGATAGTCCCATATACATCTTTCTGTGTATAGTGCTTGTAACTTTACGAAGAATGGGCCAAATTTCTTATCATTTTGATGATTCCAGAACCTTGCAGATGCTAGGTGCTAGATGATCAACCTTTTCTGATCGATTCCACAACGTTTCTTTCACAATGCAATCGCATGACCATAACTGGTCTTTACCTTTAATCGTATTTCTTCAGTTTTTTTATAAGTAAATACGATTTTCCTCAATAAAATATTTTTTTTGTGTGTGTGTGTGTGTGTGTGTGTGCCATTCTGTCCTGTAAAGTATCCTACATGCATCTCACATCAGCAATTTGGGGATGTTCATTGGTTCATTGAACATACCAGCCATGACGAAATCATGCATATTTAACCAATGATCCATAAAAAAAATGTCTCCCTGTATGTAGGAACTGTAAGAGGCATTGATCTATATTTTGTTTTTTTAATACAATTTTTGTCAGTAAAATACAACTTTTGGGATTAAAGAATACAGTTTTTGAACTCCAGAGGTTGGCAGGTCTGCAGTTGCCGTATCAAGGCTCCCTGATAGAGAAGGAAGGAACATAAGAAATATGTAAGCTCTCTTGACCCTGCCAAGAAAGCTTGGTATCACCTTACTCTATTGGGATCAAATTATTCCATCTCATATTATCCCTCTGAAGAGTCAGAATCAGTTCATTCCAGAAGTACTCCTGGCCTCTCTCATCTTCCGCCCACCAGAGGTAGGTCCTGCGTTCACTCAAGTACAGCCTCACCAGGAATGGAAGCTCTGCATCCTCAATGTCCTCGAGGAAGACCACTGTAATGTTCTCCATCCTAGCATCGTTCACCTGCTCAAAGGCTATACGGAATTTGATCATGAACCAGTTGTCCTGGAATGCAACTCGGCTAAGAAGCAGGACAGTCTTGAAGCTTTTCTCAATAACGTGGTAGACCGCATCGAAGTAGTGCATGCCAATGATGAGGTCGTCATCACCGAAGACGTTTCTGTCAAAGTTTGGAAGCCTTTCTTCAAGGACTGGTCTGAGGTGTTCCTGGACCCACTGTTCGTCATCCTCCATGAACATGATGTTGAGATCATATTCAAAGTCACCGTGATCGCGTGCATCCAAGACTTCCTGGTATCCAACAACGGCAAGCTTCAGCAAGAAGAGTTTATACTTGACAAGCCAACGATAGCGATAGACCAAAAATATCATGGCAACTAGTCCGACAGCTGTGAGTGGAATGGAGCAAACGAGGCCGATATTGGGGCCACAGAATTCTTGAGGAACAAATGTTAACAGTGGTTTACCTCTTACTTTTTCTAGTGATGACATTGAGCAAATTGATTTGCTTTCTTCAACAAGTTTCAGATTTGAGGAGCTGTTCAACCAGTAGAGTAGCCACGCAATGTTACAGTTACAATCCAGTTGGTTCTGTGAAATGTCAATCGAAGTTAGTGTTGAGTATAGAGGTTGAAATGTACTTTGATTCAATGCTGCAAATTGATTTTCAGAAAGAATCACCTCTGTCAAGTTAGTTGTATTCGCAAATACCGCACTATCGAGGAAGTATACCTTGTTCCGCTTTATGTTGTATGATTGTAACCCTTGTAAATCAGATAGCAATTGAACTGGAAGTTGTTGAATTTTATTGTTTTCGAGGATTAATGTGTGGAGAGAAGCGAGTCCACGAAAAGCATTTGAATCTATTTCTTTGATACCACAGGAGGTCAGGTTAAGTACTTCAAGGGCATGCAGTTGCTGGAACATTCCTGGCACAATAGACACAATTAGATTTTCACATAAAGAGATTACTTTGAGCTTACTCAAACTATCAAAAAGAGATATGTTTTTGTCTTCGTTCCATATTCTTCGCAAATACACTTTAGATTTATTAAGAAATATCTCTTCAAGTGATAGAGTATGAGCAAATGTTTTTCCTGGCTCCAAAATTTTCGCTATCATAGGGATAGATCTACAAATATCTATGCGCCTGAGTAAAGGAGCATTTAAAGAAAGTGTTTGAAGATTTGACCGTGTCACATTCAAGACTTGAAGACTGTGTAATCCTGTCACATTTGATATTTTGAGAAATCTTAGATTGTTATTAGAGGCCAAATCTAATACAACTAGATTATGAAGACCGCGAAATGTATTCTCATGTATTTCAAGCAAATTGTTGTGATCCAGGTACAGCTCACGTATATCTGTCCTCCAAGTGGTGTTGAAAGGGTTAATTGTTTTCATGGAGTTACTAGACAGGTGAAGAACTTGAAGCAGCTTCATTCCATAAAAACATTCTGGTTCAATTATGCTGATGTCGTTATATACAACAAAAAGTTGTTTTAATAGAGTTAGATTTGAGAAAGCTGAGTGGTCGATGTGTTTTAAGTAGATGTAGGATAGATGCAACTTGACAAGGGGGTAGTTATGCAAAGGGTCAAACAAATCTAGAGAGATGTCCATAGGTGTATCTAGTATGGATAAACGTTGAATCTGGGACTGAGCTATTCCCGCGAACAGGTCCTTCCATAGGCCCGAGTGTGGAGTAGAGCCAAACTGTCCCAATGACAAACTCTGCACACGAAGCGAACTAATAACTTCCGGGGCGATGCGAGTTAAACGGTTTCTAAGGATATGAAGATAATTGACGTTACAGTCAAGCTTGAAGTTTTCGGGGGTGATTTCATGAATTTCGTTACCCGTAAAATCCATCTTCTCAATTTGCTCTTTTCTTAACGGGGAACATGTCAAATTGACATGCGAAATATCATTATTAATGAAGCTAACATCATTTAGCAGGGGGAACCACTGAACAAAGTCTGTGGGGAGCAGTTTGATGTTACAGGATGCCAGCGAGATCCGGGTTAGGTTATGAGACCATGGGATTCCACTGGGATTGCTAAGTTGAAGACCCTCATTATAGCTCAAATCCAGATTTTGCAAATGCATCAGCGTAGCAAACGTAGCAGGTTCAATATGGCGGATATTGTTTTCAGATAGATCCAGAAAAATAAGTTTGGTATACCTCGCAAAAGAGGAATTTAACAGAGTATGGATGTGATTGGTATGTAGGTAAAGAAACTGAACGTCTGCTAGAAGATCATCTGGAACTGCCATAAGGTTCATTTCTGTACAGTACACCATTTTCCTTATCACGTCTACTGTACATGTCCTTCTGAATTCCTTCAAAGTCACTGAATGCTCTTCGAGAAAGAGAGTGTCTCTTTGACGTTGCCTTAGTGAAGTCACTGGCAAAGCATACATAGCAGCAGATATCAGAACCACGAGAAAAACCTTTGGTGACATCTTGCGACAAAAATAGTCTTCTAGTGATCTTTGAATATGTAGAGAAGATGTAAATACCGAAAACTATGGTCCATCATCAATGTAAAATGAAGAGCCGTGTTGAAAAAAAGATCAGCAAGAACTGAACTGTACTGAAATTTAGGAATGCTTTATTTCCTGATATGTCGACACCACCTTGACAAAGATCAAAATGAAATCTGACATAAGATGGGCGTTGTACAGTGGCTATTGATGTTAAAGATTTGAAACATTAATCACTATTACATATGAAAGTATAGCACTTTGGAAGCAATTGCATGTACATTAAGAGTAATTGATCAAAGCGATATGGATCGGATTGTCTTGAAACAAAAAAGAGAATACTGTTTATGGGGGCTCGGAATAGAGATGTCATAAATGTATGATAAATATCAATCTGTGCTAATGAGAAATGTGGTATGAGTTTAAAGGAGGGATGTGAAAATTAGAGAGTGAAATTAATAACAGAAGCATGACATGTTTATTAAGACAAAGTTAGAGATGATTAGGAGGGGGAAAGGAAGAGTAAAAGTGAGAGTGAGTGTCATTTATAATATTGTGTTGAAAGGTTCATTGTTCAGTTAATTTTTGAAAGTCATTGATTATTAAAAAGCTGCTCTGCATGGTACAATCACTTTCAGTTTCGTTTTTTTTTCTTCAAAGTTTGTAGGTATGTAGTGGCTAAAGAGGCCATGTAATTTTTGTTACAGCACATTCAACATACAAAAAAAATTAGTGCTGAAAGAGAAAGAGAAAAGGAGGGGAAAAAAATAGTGAACCGTGAGAAACACTCAGCATACTTCCTTATGTCACCAGTGAACACTCAAAATCATTTCTTTACATGTTTTGGTACACTACAAGGTTGAAGTTGGGAAATTTAGTGAGTGTAGGATATTGACCGTAGAGCATTTGTCATCAGAGCATGTTTCATAGAAAACTTGCAAGTGTCATAGTGCGCAAAGTGCTGGTGTGCATTTCAAATAGGATGTTTATATAAAGCTTTCCCCTAACTGAAATTTGACATTCTCAATGATGTTTAGTCATCAAATTCTGTATTGTAATTGAACATTTAGTTGTACAAAATTAGATGCTACTGTAAATACAGGGTACACTATTGTCATGTACATACAAATAAGCAAAAAAATTAGGTGTTTTCCCAACTTTTATTTTTCAATAAATTAGATCAAATAAATAGATTTTCAATAGGTAATATGCCTTTTTATATGTAAAATTTTAAATAGAGATATGAATATATATCAATTTACATTTCTTAGTATTACAATCACTTGTTTTGTGTGAAGTACAGTATATCCAATTTCTGAGTTTATATACAGTGTGCCAAATAAAATTTACGATAAAACTTTGTCCTGTACAAAGAACACATAACAAAAAACAAACAAAAAACATTTCAACTAGGAAGCGATATTGTCTCTTTACACATACATGCATCACATTTCAATATAATACAAACATTGACATTTACTATGTCTTTAACAAATGTATATGATTCAGTTAATAAATGTGCAAGAAATCTCTCACAAAACATGTAATATTAGATAGATAATACAACTGATTTTTGCTCATTGTCAGCCTGGTTATACAGCTGCTTGCAATTAAGCATCAAGGAAGTACAGGTAGAGAAAAAAAGTAGTGGTATTCATACAAGAGATACAGCCAATGAAAGTGCCATACCTAAAAAAAAATATTTTGTTTTAATAAGATGTATCTCTAATTCAATATTTTTCTTGGCTATCTTCCTGTCAGTTTGAATTGCTTTTTTTAATACTCAGGAATATTTCTCTCCAAAATAAATCAAATTCTTTATCTTCAATATTCATACCAAACTATCGTAGAAACAATGTAAAGTGTAATAAGGCAAAAACTCTCACGAACCATAATATTCAAGTAAAACAAATTCACTGTCTTTCCAGTTTTGTGCTTTCCCTAATATTTTAAGTCGTTAAAATGCTACTTATTGTAAATAAAGAAATAATAATATATAATAAAATAATATTCATTAATTTGAAAAAAATGTTGAGGAAGTTGTTTATAGTCTTCATATGATACACATTCATGTACAATTTCTAATTTCCAAGTTGATAATTTATTGCATATTCTAAAATAACATCTTAGATTAAAATAGTTTTATATCAGCAGATAAAATGTATTTTATTATGATACATCTATGCACTTCAACATTAAGATGCCATTGTCTACGGAAACCATATGTGAATATTGTGAAGTTAACTGGCTTCAGAAGAGATCTTTAAAGATGCTTTCAAACTCTGGGATATCATCATCAGCTCTGTAGAAGAATAAACAATCAGAAGAGATGGAAAATAAGTGAACAATTGAATGAATGATTGCAATAATATGTCCAAATCAATAACAAGCATACATATATATATATTTTTATTTTTTTTTTGGGGGGGGGGATACAACTGGATACAGGGATTGCTGTACAATTTTAAAGGTTTATACAAATAAGGTAGGCCCTTAAAAAAAAAATTAGTTATATTCTGGGGACTAAATATATAAAAAAAAAATATATATATATATATATATATATAATTCATAAAAATAATATTTTTCAATATGTTACTCTATCTTGCTTTCTTCATGATAGTACTTAATGCGATACAAGCATTTCGTTGAAAGGGTACCCATTTGAACATTCTCTAAATAAAGATAAAAAAAGAAAATTTGAAAGTACTAAAATGCCTCGGCTTCAGTATCAAAATTCCGCTTACTCTGGGGATTTGTTGACAAAGAAGCTGCCAAGTCGTGGTCTCTGAGAAGGCTTGGAAAATGATCCTTGTTTCTGTGAAAGTAAAGTGAATAGCAATATAGAAAATTTGAGATGAATTTAATTTTATTGTTTGTGGACTGCAAAGCCATTACTGTTTACTTTCTCCCCAAAGTCTTGAAAAGCATGAAAGCCATGAATTTAAGTGAAACAATTACCATCAGTAAAATTCTTTCATTTTTGTAAACTTACACAATGCATGAAGATGAAAGTAGTGAGATTCAGCAACATTAGAGAACAAACTGTTCACTGACATAACCAAAGGATGATAAGCTGTTTCCCTAAAGTTATCAGCCTTCCAACTCACAACAGATAAAATATACTCTAGGATATATTGATGATCAATGTGAATAATCAACATACCTTTTGTAAGTAGTCTTGTTCCACAGCATCTAAACAGGTCATCAGGGATTGCTCATCAGGGCTTGTATTGCTTGCTAGAGGTGCTGTGTGTGGCTTCATGGATGGAGTGGCTGGATTGAAGTCTAGATTCCTGACAGCCTTACCATACAGGGGCCTGAGAGGGGATCTTTCGGGTAGCCTTGTTAGACAAGATGAACAAATGATGAGAATGGTATGATTTAAGTACAGTGTATATGTTCCTGCTAAATGTGGATTCATAGGGTAATGCTGTCATGACATCCTTTCCAATATATCTTTATCCCAAGCAAATTACAACATTCACTTTCCAACAACAACAACAACAACAAAAGGTTTGATGGCTATGTTCTCACAATGACCAATAGCAAAAGGAACATATTTGTATACATGTTACCCTTCAAATACCATCAGAGGTTTGAGTTGCTCAAGTTATAGGGTCTATAAATATAATAGTTGAGAAAAGTTTGTCTTCTTTTTGTGTTAAAGATTACTGTTTATTACCAATGTTACACTGTTTTAATCCAGACTGACATTGATTCAACTGAAATAGAGAAGGTGAGAAGTCGACATTGGTCATACCGTGTTCCAGTCCTCCCATTATGACTTGTAGGTGGGAGGGGTTTGGTCCAAGCATCACTCAGCTGGGGTCTTGGCAGGGACTGGACACCACCTCCTTGAGGTCTGTAACCTCCTAGGTTATTACTGCATGCAGGTCTCACAGTTGGATGCAGAGGATGACCCCTCCTTCCTAACGGGACGTACTGGTCAGCAGGACTACTGGTAAGGGTGTACTCCATGACTGGTAGGGAGAGGGTTGCACTGGACGCAGCAATGGACTCACTGGGGTCCCCTCTACAGAGCTTCCACCCAGGTGGCACACTCACATTCGGGACAGACTGCTCCTGCATCGGATGTGGCTGCCTTGAAGGCACACCTCCCCACAGGTACCCTGGTCTCTGCGGAGCTGGTTGGGTCGCGCCTTCATAGGGCTTAGCTGAATCGCAGGAGATGACCTTCACAGTGTCATTGAGGGTTGGATGAAAGTGACTGTCAAGGTGATCCATGCAGATAATGTCGTCCATGTCATCCACGTCATAGATGTCGCTTCCTCCAATGTCAAAACAAGGAAGATCACCTGGGCCCTCATCAAAGCCAAGAGATACTTTAGGGAGTTCTGTTCATTAAGAAACAAATTAAACATATTTTGTACTCTTTCACAGAACGCAATTGATATTCAATGAGATAATATGACAGGAAGTTTTTGTATTGCTCTCACTTTATCATTATCCTACTTCATTTGTTTATGTTTATTTCACCTGCCTTTTTAAAGATAAAAATGCATTTGGGTCCTTGCTTGACCTTTTTTAGTAAATCAATTTAAAAAGGTATATTTCTGAAAAAGGTAGCAAAAAGTGACCAGTCACAGAGATGTACTTGTGTGTAGAAGATAATACAAAAATTATCTCCCCCTGCTTTAATACAGACAAAGGCAAATAAATCAATGCTTCATCAGTAAATGAAACCTACCATCATCATCATCATCACCATACATATCTCCACCCACACCATGGGACACCTCAGGCTGGGTTTCAGAGAGCTCTATCTCCCTCTGATGCCTGTAGAAGTCCAGGTGTTCCCATCCCGTAGTCCTCTGAGGCTCCATGGTAGAGGGATTGGGTGTGGCGGTGCAGGTGGTGGTGGTGCGTGGGGTTTTGGCGACAGGTGTATCAGCTGCCTTGTCCATTGCGGGGAGCAAGCTTCTCTTGGGTGTGTAGGCAAACCGATCCAGCGTGGGTAAGGGGGTAGGAGTCGAGTCACTGAACTGTGTGACATAGATGGCAAGAAACACAAATAATAGCAAGATATGTGACTTGTGTACCATATATTTACTGAACTGTGTGACATACATGGAAAGAAACAAAAATAATAGCAAGATTTGTGACTTGTGTACCATATACTTTCACTGAACTGTGTGACATAGATGGAAAGAAACACAAATAATAGCAAGATATGTAACTTGTGTGCTATATATTTTCACGGAACTGTTGGTAAAGATGTAAACAAACACATAAAGATTCATATTTTGTTTAACTTGTATATGGTAATTTTCACGTGTCATCCTAGATCCCTTCACTCAACTTAATAAATGCTACAACAGGTACGTGTTATTACCTTCAAGCGCTTGATATTTGGTGTCGTACTTATATCCCGAGCTCTCTGTCTCATCAGGTCCAGGAACCCATCAATACCTCGAGGACCTCTAGATCTAGATGGTGTGGTGGCAGCGCTCTGTGGGTTGTAGGCGTTGCTGCCGGTGGTAGCCAGTTCTTCATCAGGAGTCTGCAACCTCTTGGTTGGTGGAGCCCTAGGTCTGGGAGGGGGTCTGATGGGGACGCCAAACTTACAGCAGTCATGAGCGCAGGTGTCCTTGTCCAAGCAGCGATGGCTGCAGGGCTTACGGCTTCCATACCCTCCAAAATCTGTCAAGAAATATTATAAGTTCATAAAAAAACCTCTTGATCAATGTCTTTTGGACCAGGGATGTTATATTGAAACCTTTTTTTTTCAGGACTAAAATCAATGAATATAAAAGAGTTGTGATACCAGTTTAATTAGGCCTAAAAAAAAAAGATGTTGTATTGCCCTTTAGGTGCCAAAACATGGGTCGGTTGGTCAGATTTTTAAAAAATTAGTTATTATAAAAATAAAAAACTCCCTCTTTGGGCTGATAGTTCTCAGTTTTGAATGCTTACCTAAATACATTTTTTTTCTAAAAAAAACGGTTAAAAAAAACTTTTTTAAAAGGCCGACCGTCGATTTTGAAATTTTTGGGTCGGTCGCAAAGGGCAAAACAACATTTTTTTTTAGGCCTTATGGTAACTGTATATAGTTTCTGTGTTACCCCTCACCTTGTATACCATCATCGCAGGGTGAAGAAAACTCTGTATTTGTGAACCCTTTTTGAGAATCCATCCTGTCTGATTGACCTAGTAGGTGACTCCTGTTCTTGTTTGAAGGGTTGTTTCCAGGTAGACCAGGCACCAATCTCCTCACAGGGGATTTCTTCTCGGCCAGTTGAGGGGGCAGGGCTTCATTCTTTACTGCTGCTCTCAGATGCTTTGGTCCAGAGTAGAATGGCGAGTAGGAGCTCTGTACATCCAGACCAACTGAATGTTTGAATTTATAATAATAATAATTTGGATTTATAAAGCGCTTGATACGAAATACGGTCTTTAAGTGCTTTACAGATATTATAGCCTCGGTCATCTGATTCATTCATGCAGAATGTGCAACTTCTCCACTCCCTGGAGAGTATTCCTACTATATGGTTACTGTGAGGGCATTAGGCAATTACTAACACAAAGGCTTTTGTCATCCTACCAGGTCCCCATTTCTCTCCCGGGTATGGAGTGGCAAGTGTAGAATAATGCCTTGCCAAAGGGCACTTGTGCTGCGATGATATATTCACATTAAAACATACCTTCCTGTTTTAATCAGGATACATTTTACTTGTGTAGAATACTAATATACACATAAAGAAGTGTTTATATGTACTTTCTCCATTGTATAACATTGATGAAATATTATCTGGTTTCGATTAAAAAATGACAAAAAAAAACTTTTCTTATCGAGTAAATGCTTAGTGTAAGGTACTTTTGAATGCCCAATTGCCTCATAGTTATTCTATTTAGAGTTAGAAAAATATATGTAGAGGTGTTCATATGAGAATATACACTTCATGGATTGAATGTGGTTTTCAAGCTTGAGTTCAGTTTTAAATTATGGCACTGTTAAACCATTGAAAACTAATGACTAGGAATAAGCCCATTGGATAAGTATTAAAATTGATTTTGTATCAGTGAGAGGCACAGGTATGTGACTTTCAAATTATACTGGAAAACAACAATCATTGATAACAAACTCGGTTTGACTGAGCATGTTTGAGATCCGTCAAAAGATTTTTATCATCACATGTTCTCACCAAAGTCTTGACTGATGAGGTTAATGTTGAGCTCCTCTCCTTTGATTGCCCTCTTGACTTCCACTTTACGCATCCACATACCTGACTGCACCAGCTGGGAGTCTCTGAAAATAAATGTATATTGATGCTTGATTATTCTACTTGATTATCCTGCTGTTGTGGATAATACTCCAGCAAAAGTAGTAATGGTAGCTCTTTTTTTGTTGAAAATATTTAAATATTACGACATTGTCCCAAATCAAGTGTTCTCATAAGTGAAAGGTACAAGTAATAAAAAGAAGTAGTCAAATAGCTTAACTCGTACTAATTTTTTATCTTCATGTCATCACAAACACAAATTTGCAATATTGACAAAAACAGGAAAAGCATCCTAACACAATTGACATAGATACCAAATAATTTGATTACACAACAAAACCATGAAGTTTACCAGATATAGGAATCTAATAGTTGAATATCATAAAACATAATAATAAAAACTATTCCTTTTTTGTTGCATAAAGTGCTATTCACACTTACGCTACTCTTTGCTTGTAGACCACTTTGTTGTCTGCATCTCCGATAAGTAGAATGACCATGTGGTTGGGTTTGGTGGTCTGTTTCTGAGCTACGGCCTCATGGTTTTGGAGACAAACTGTGATATTTAGTTCTGCTCTCACAGGACTGTACTTTGATACCTGATTGTGTTGGAAAAGAAATGATACAAAATATCATAGTGTATAATAATTCTTCTGTAACATATACATACCTCCTGAATTTAGCTATCCCGTATTAAACAGTTACAAAATCTTTGTACATTAATCTTGGGTTGCCAGTAAAGAAAAATGAGATGGCATGCAAGCTTTCAAAGTTATTTCAATTCTAATTCAACTGAAATGACTGTTTGTATAATTTGTAAATTCTTTATATATTTTTGTTTCTTAAAAAAAAAAAAAAAAAAATTATGGTTCTGAAGTGTTTTCACATCTTCAGGAGATAACAAAAGTAAAATGTGCTGAACTTGTAATCATAAAGAAGAGAGATAGCAAGAGGGGGAAAGGAAGGGAGAGAGAGAGAGAGAGAGAAAGAGAGGGAGGGGGAGAGTGAGGGAGAGAGATAGAGAGAGGGGGAGAGAGCAGGAGGAAGAGAGAGAGAGAGAGAGAGAGAGAAGGGGAGGGGAGATTCTATATTTTGTTTCAATACACTATTAGTAACAGTGCATAATAGTGACCAGCCATTACAATGACTTGTAAAGGTAATGACCCATTTCAACAAGTGTATCAAATGATAATAATTATATTCCTATAGAAGACTTACATACATACATGTATAACATGAGATGATGAGAATGATGAGAATCAATGATCATGGGGAAGGGTGTATTTGAATAATTAGACTGTTCTATGTGTGCATGTGTTTCTATGTATGCATGCAAACTAATAAAACTTAAGTCTGTCTTACCTGTTCAATGGAGACATCATACTTGGGAAGATGAGAGACAGCCTCTACAATCTGATTCCCAAACGGAGGATGGCGATTTACAATCTGAATAAAAACAAATTCATTGACAATATATACAGTAAAACCTGCTTTAGAGACCATCTGTTTACAAGGACCACATATTTAGTTTCCCTTCCAAATGGTTTCTTATAATTGAAGCATGTACTAAAGGAACCTGTCTACCGGTACATAGACCACTTTTCATGTTTCCCTTGGAGACCTGTTCAATGGAGACATCATACTTTGGAAGATGAGAGACAGCCTCTACAATCTGATTCCCAAATGGAGGATGGCGATTTACAATCTGAATAAACAAAATCATTGACAATATACATGTATACCATCTTTTGATATTTTGCAAAGACCTTTAAATTCTTCTCCTTCTTCTTCTTTGGGTTAAGTCTACCTCCTTCACAGTTGAAGATTCTTGCAGATAAATGAGTGTGTGTGTGCTAACGAGAGCCAGTTGCATGGTGCAATGCTATTAACATGGTGCAAGTAAAACATTCTCAGTTGCAGCCTCCCGTCAGGCATTGACGGAAGGCATCCACAAATTTGATACTATCCAAACTTGTCCTCTATTCTATGAAATCAGGTTTTCACACAAACTCACCAATTCCAGTTCCCTGGGGTTCTTATTCTCCAGCTTCTGGAAGCTATCCAGACCAGCATGGACCAAGGCATTGGACATGGTGGGACCGATCTTCTCCAGCTGTCTGGCTACATATCTGGAGTTCTCCCACAGCTTGGCTTGGATGCACTTGGATGTGAGCAGGGCATTCAGCAAGGCTTTGAATTCCGTTCTGGTCATGAGGTACTCCGTTAGGCCTGTCAAGATGAAAGTGTGGTATAATCAGTGGATACTTGCTACTTGATGGAGTATAATCTTTAGCAGCTCATTCAGGAAGCTATACTGGGACGGTTGGTTAGGCGAATAGCTGCAAGGAGTGCCATGTAGTGCGGAAACGATGTGTGGATATTTATTTTGATCAGTAGACGATGGATATTACTTTTTTTAGTTTATTTGTTTAGAACTTGTGGGATGGAACACCCTGATCAGCAGAAATGTTGCTTTTCATAGATATGATGAACCTGGTTGTGAATGTAGTGCATTCATCAGTTTGATTTGTGCAATATCCTGGAATTTGGCAAGTCCTGCACTTTTAGCTCTCACGGACCTCCTAAGGAAAGTCATATTGAACAATATGTTTACATTAAGATATGTATTTCTTCTTGAAACAGAAGCAGGTGACCCCTCAGTGAAGATCATTCCCATGGAATTTATCCTATGTCAAATATATCCATAAATCAAGCATAACAAGTAAAAAAAAAAAAATTGACACTTGAAAGTTTTCATCAGTCTTATACTCATTGAGTACTGAATTCCCTGAAGTGCCTGATACATACAACGGTTACTCAAATGTACATAAAATGTCTCTGTTTCCTTACATCTGGTGAGTCTCTGGCCTGCCCTGAATATCTTATAGCAATCCTGATTTAGAGCAAACTCCTGGATAGGAATGGACCCTAAGGTGGCTTGGATCAAGCTGAATATCGAAGGAGGAAAAAAGAGCAGAAATATATATATATATATGAGGAAATCAATGAATGGAATCAACAGAAAATGGAAGAGACAGAGGAAGAGAAGATGATATAAGAAAAAGAGAAAGAAAAAAGAAGACAAATTAAAATAATTTTTCATGAAGTAAGAATGCCTTTTCAACCATATATTTATCTCAAGGAATACTCGAATACACAATTTAACAATGATTGGGATTTTTTTTTTAAAGCATAATTTAATATTTTTCAAAAGATAATTTGTGTTTCCTTTCATCTTTCCTCCCTTTTTGTATTTTCTATCTTAAATGAATATCTTACATGTATCTATGAATCTGAAAATTTATTGTCTTGATAGACATTCACTGTTTGACAAAAAAACTTGTATGAAAATCATAGGAATGAATAACTATTTGGACTCTACGCCACCTTATTCTAAAAAGGAATACAATGAATGTTGATTAGAAAAACATATTCCTATGTACAATTTTTGATTAGCTATCTTTCTTTTCTACAAGTCTATGCCACTCAAACTTTTTCACTTTTTTATACTCAGAACAGCACTTTCATATCAATTGTTTTGAAATTGCCATAGTTCATGGTGTTTTGGTTCTTATTCTTGTTCATGAGTATATATATATACTTGATCATTCTATCTCCTGATCATACTGTTTGTACCACTTGAATCTCATCTATATATACATGTGTGGCGTAACCGGGCTCTGCCGGGGTAGCGTTCTGCCTTGCAGTCTCTCAAAACCCGGTCCACGCTCTCGACAATCATTCATCAACTATATCTCTCAGTGGGCTCTCACAAAAGTATATCGTGTAAGAAATAACGTGGACTAGCTCTCATTTTACTCACTCCCGCAATCACTGAATGTCTGACAGGACTAAAGAAACAACACTTGCACAGTATCTGCAGTCAAGTAACTTTACTCGTTCCTGGTAACGGACCTTTCGCAACGACAGCCCGACGCTGACTCACAGATCACAACTGTATAGAACCTGCCCCAACGGCAGCTAAGCGCTGACTCACAGCTAAACGCTGACTGACTGACATCTCACGATGTACACATATATATTTCACAATTAACTATAACGCCCTCTACGTCTTACTAAACCACTGGACTAGTTATGCTACACATGTTTTGTGACTTCATGAATCTCAAACACTCTGTCTTACCAGTTGACTTTCATGTCGTTTGTCTTGATCTTGCCACTCATCGGGTAACGGATCGTAACATGGTTCTTATCCTTGTTCATCTTGTTCAGCACCTTCCTCTCATTCACTCGGAGCTGAACATCACTGAACTCCTTGCACTTGGACACAAGTACCATCTTTAAAAAAACAAGATCCATAAGGTTATAGCATAAGGTTAGAGCTGATGTTGTAAAGATCTTGAGTTGGTGAAATCGTTTTGAGTGAGGAAAACTTAAACAGGTACCAATGTGTGTAGTATTTACAAGGGCTGGGATATTTTTTCTTGAGAAGATATGTTAGTTCTTATTAAAAGAACTGTTGCATAATTCTTTAGTTTTTATAGCTTTTTCAAGAACTTGTATTTCTTTCAAAGAAAGAAATGTTGTGCTTCATGTAAATTTCTCTCTCTCTCTCTCTATCTCTACTTGTGCTGGACATCACAGAATTGTGTACATTTGAAGAGAAGCATGATGTAGAAAAGTTTTACAATCATACAGAAAATGCAGAGTTTGTCAATGTCAGGAATATTTACAGATAACTAGTATGACTGCCATCCACTGCCAAGCAGGTGTTAAGGATCTAGAGCACCTCCATTCATGAAATAGCAAGGAAATCATACTTTTTTTGTATGAAATTAGAGACTCACCAAATCTGACACAGTCTCATTGCCATCCAGTTTGGTGAACTGCTTCATGGTCTCAAAGGCTACACAGTACCTTGCCATCAGTCTGCCTGTCTCTGTTAAATAATAATAATAATAATAATAATGTTACGACTACCACCACCACTACTACTACTACTACTACTACAACTACTACTAATTTTCATAAAATACAAAGGGCGTCAACTTAAAAATACTTGCACACACACACAAAAACAGAGAACATTATCATACAAAGCTTATAGTAATTACAAGAAGAGAGTAATATCAAAATAAATTAGAAAAATGTGTTTTCAGACACTTCTTGAAAGCAATGAGAGTATGGCAATTCGTTAGTACAGGGGGTTAAGGAGCTCAAGGTTTTGGGGCAATAATATACATCTATTAGAACATGATGTTACTGTTTGATTTTACAAATTTGATGTCTTGATGCTTTCTGCATTTATGACCAAGTTTTTTGCATGGAATCATGGACGAAAACCGGATGTGGCAAATTTATTGATTATCGTGATATCATACTGTATGAATTTTAGTTTGCTATTAAGGTAAAATACCAGACTTTGAAAATTGATAAGGTCTAGCTTTAGTATCATTTTATCTTCAAGGAAATTTTGATAGCTACAAGAAGACCTAAGTGGCAAATTTCAGTCAACATTTCTATATATCTTTCACTAGGTATACAGTCATATGACCATCTACCAAACAGTCCGATAAGGAGGGAGGTAAGCCTGACACTTACCAAGAGGCTTTAGTTCTTTACTCTGCTGGTCCATCTGTATGAGATTGATGCTAGCCAGTGATGTCAAGTCTTTGGTGCACAATTCTTGTGGAGAGAGTTGGGGGAAAAAATGGATATTTTTCAAATAATGATCATGGACATTGCATACAGCAAAAATCAATTAATTGATAAATAACAAACCAGCAGCAACACAACAACAAAAGGACAACAAGAAGAACAAGAAAGAAAATCAACAACAACAATTTTTAAAAATTTTAAATAATTTTGTTTTTATCATCATCTCGTGCCGTCCCTTCGGAAGGGGTTGGCGGCTATGCACCTCCATCGCTATCTGTCATGTACTCTTGTTCTAACCTTTCCGTAGTTAAGACCAGTCCATTTCTTGACATCATCAAACAAAGTGAATCGCTGTCTACCCGTTTGTCCTCTACCAATCCTTCCAGCAAGATCTTCTACAATCCTCCTCCTCTCATCACATGACCAACATACATTTTGTTTACTACCTTTCAACCGTTTGTCCAGCTCCATCTGAGTGAACCCCTTTGGTAGGCCGTAGTGGGTGGGATTCTTCTGGACGCGTATGTAGAGGAAGGTAGACTTGAGCCACTCAAGGGCGATGTCCATGTTGTCGATGGTGTGCAGAACTATCTCAGCATTCAGGTGCTCTATCAGGTGGTTGTGAAGACTGGAGAGAGAGAGAGAGAGAGAGAAGGGGAGGGGAGGTGAACATAGAAGGAGGGGTTGAGAGAGAGGGGAGGAGGAGAGGGGGAGATTGAGGAAAGGAGGGAGGGAAAAGAAAAAAAGAAAAAATGGTTGGGAGAGAGGTGGAAGGAGGAGAAGGGAAAGAGAAAGAGGGAGAGAGAGAGAGAGAGAGAGGTAGAGAGAGAGAAATAGAGTGCAAGAGGGAGAGAGAGAGAGAGAGAGGTAGAGAGAGAGAAATAGAGTGCAAGAGGGAGAGAGAGAGAGAGAGAGAGGTAGAGAGAGAGAAATAGAGTGCAAGAGGGAGAGAGAGAGAGAGAGAGGTAGAGAGAGAGAAATAGAGTGCAAGAGGGAGAGAGAGAGAGAGAGAGGTAGAGAGAGAGAAATAGAGTGCAAGAGGGAGAGAGAGAGGAGGGAGGGGAGGAAGAGAGAGAGAGAGAGAAAGAGAGTGATAGAGAGAGAGAGAGAGAGAATGCAAATATGTTTGGTCATTTCTTCAAGGAAATGAAAACAAGATATCGTTAAAAGAGTGTTGTTTATGTATTTGTTCTACATTATGCAGAATAAAACAACACAGATTTTCTAATTGAACTAAGCATATTCACCTGCTCTCTATTTCCTCTGTTCCAGCCAGGAGATTGTCATATTTTCCCTGTACATGAAAACAAATGATACAAGACTATGAATAAGAAGCCAAATAAGGATTATGATTTATAATAATAATAGTGATACAACAAATTTATATGGCGCTTGTGACATAAAATTTTCAAAGTGCTGTACACAAATCAAAATTATAGAGTTATAGATTGATAGAGCAAATATTTCATTAAAGTTTCTCAAGTTATAACATGATTTTTGTCTGTATTATATGTAGTACATGTAGTACACGTATGTATGTCTGTCTTTTTGGTATATTTGTTTATGGACACAGTATTTCATAACCTGTTTGATATTTGCAGTTATTATAATGATTATTTAAAAAGAAACCAACTACTGGTTACGACCTTTGTCTTGTGTTTGGTCATAATGACTGCGGTGGCGCTTGTATCAAACTGTGGTCTGCCGGCCCTGCCTATCATCTGAAGGATCTGTGTCTCGCTGTACTCTCTGTACATCCCACCTGCATAGTGCTGTGTAGACTTGACAACCACGAGATGGGCAGGGAGGTTCACCCCCATGGCTAGGGTACTGGTCGACACTGTGGTGTGGTAAAGCAAAAATACATTACTTAGCTTCAGAAGCAGCAGAGAGAAATAGTGCCGAGGAAATTCCTCATGAATAAAATCAAACTGATAGCCATTATGAGGAAGTGAGTAAAAAGGTACGTGACTTGGCTCTGGAAATTTCAAGGTGAATTCATGAAAACACTTCAAATTCGAAGTCCTTCTGTACAAGAACAATTTTGAAGTGAAAAAGACTAGGATACAAGAAACCACACAATTTTTTGGGGGAAAAATGAGGAGTTAAAAAAAATATATATATATATTTTTGGAGGCCATTTTAAAAAGAGTTCTTTAATGTAATACAGAGCAGCACTATGGGTTCTATTTTCATAATTAGAAGGCATAACCTAATCCCTTGGATAGGACTTCAATGAAATACTAATCCGTTCTTTGGATATACATGTACAAGCATACAGGTATAAACAACCTTTGGAGGTGAATCATGTAATCAATGATCTACTGCGGATATGAACACATAATCATGTACATGCAGATAGTGCTTAATCACTTCTACATCTTGAAGGCTATTGCTGATTTGAAAATATATGCAAAGCTAAATTCCCCTTTTCTTTGTGAATAACACAAATATACTTAATCCCACAGTTTTGGTGACATACTGCCTAGAAGAACATTATTAAGCCTATGGGAATGAATGATTAAAGTAGTTAAAAGTTCAAGTAGGGCTCTTACAATTCATTATTGTACCTCCAAAATTGTGAGTAATGAACACCATATGTCAACCCATCAATCATTTAAATCTTAACCCTAGTGTACACAGTGGACCACAGTTGCGTTACAACAGGTATATACCATGGTAAAGAACAAAGAGATACTTACTGAGTACAGGGAGATCCCCTTGAAGGAACATCTCTTCAATAGCCTTCCTGTCTTGTAGGTCCAGACCAGCATGGTGATAGCCAACTCCATTCATGACCAGATCTATGCAGCACAACATTATGGCATGATTCTCACTATACTTCAATTTTTATTATAATCTGCAACACTGATAGTAGTCCCCTTTAACACTTTTCATCAAAGTCTTCATTATTCCATTGTTTTGAAAAGGAAAAACAAAAAAAGGATTTCTCCATAAATTACATTCTTACATGTCTAATTCATATTTCACAGTTGCCATAACTGGTGTTTATTTATGGTAAAAGTGAAGATAGTTTGCAAGTTTCATATTCTATTTATTTATAATTGGAAGAATACCATGGTACTTTTTTCTATAAAAGGGATTTTGTCTTTGTTGAAAATGTGGTTAGAAAAATAGTTGACAACGCTGGACTACAATCTGCCGATGCCACCTCTTCATTTTGTTCCATGTACCAATATCTCTGTTCAATGTTCTTCACTGTCCTAAATTGTAATAAACAACTTCCTGTTTCCAAAATAATCTATCACTTTGACTCCAAGACAGAGTATTAACAATGAAATTACATGAACAGTACTTTTGTGTAGCATCATCTTTGATTTGACCTTTGACCCACCTCTGAGTTTAGAATCCCTGATCCTATTGTTGTACATCTGAAGCCTCTGTCTGCACTGTGCATTCAAGATAAACCTGGCTTCTTTCACTAGGATAGAAGCAGCCTGCTCTACAGCTTTCCTAGTAGAACAGAACTGAAGGAAAGGGAGAATTAGCATGGTTAGCTGCTCTATACAAAATAAAATACTAAAAGGTTGAACAAATAGTACTATGCAAATTGCACATACATATTATTTATTATCAGTAGTAGTTGTATAGTGGGGGTGGCATTGGTTGTAGTAGTAGCAGAAGTAGTAGTAGCAGTAGTAGTAGTAGAAGTAGTAGTAGTAGTAGTGGCAGTATATGTAGTAGCAGCAGTAGAAGTAATAGCAGTAGTAGTGATATACTATATATTTGATGTGCTTAACTCAACCATAGTAAACAGGCATACAGGTATTATTGTGCAAAGTGAATCCCTCTCTACCCCTAAAGGAGCTCCATTTAACGTTCTGTCTGGTTTGGAGCATAAGCTTTTTATAATAGAGATGAATTTCCTGAAAGCCCAGTTTATGATACAGGTATCATTGAGAAAAGAGTGAATCCTGTACATAAAGACCACCTGCCTATGAAGACCACTATTCATGTTTCCCTTGAGCAGTCTTTATATACCGGTACAGGTTTCACTGTATCATATTAAAGTGAGCACGTTTTTCTCATTGTCTTACCACAAGAGTAGGTTTGTTTTCTGAGTAGGTCTGAACGACTCCACTTAGCTTGTAGTTGAGGGAGAGATCAAACTTGAACTCTGAGAAGTTATCAGAGCAGGGATAGCCAATCACAACCTTACGAAGCGTCACTGGTCTGTGGCTGTCGTCAAATCTATAATGGCAAAACAAACAAACATAACAAACAAATAAATAATCAAAGCAGGTGGCACATTTGGTGTGTTCAGATAAACCAAAATATCTTTAGATCTGATTTCTTTGTGATTAGTAACTTTTATACAATTTTACAAAATGTGGTTTTTAAGGGAAATTGTCTTTTGAAAATGAAAATACTTCAAAACTTATACTTCTAATCACAATTTGCATCTTGATGAAATTACTCTGAAAATATATTTCTCTTCTTTTTTTTTTTTTCCTTTTTTTTTTGGGTGGGGGTGGGGGGGGGGGGGTATGAGTCTTTCTCTGTAGGGGGGGGGGGCTGTTTGAGCAGTGTACAATTACCATCCAAGCTTAGACGCCACATAGTCATTACATATCTAAATAGCTACTTGTGCATGTAGCACAGTGTAAAGCTTTCAGTTTCTATACTCACTTGTGAAAGACAGCAGTTTGGTCACCAAATCCAAGCCATTCTGCAATCTGCAGGATGAAAAATTACATAATTTTAACTGCAATGTATAAAGAAAGGTCATTTACAAAGCATAAATAAATCCTGATGATTTAAACAACCTCTCTCTCTAACCTTCCAAAAACTTATATAACACCACATCTTCCTAAATGACATACACACCTAATTCTTAACCTGTATACTTGTATTATATAGTCATGTTACTCGGCAAGAAATATAAGACTTTAGAACACATGCAGAACTAATGTATTCACACCATAGAAATTATACAAATTCTTGCATTTCCATAAATATTGGTGTTTATCTCCTAGTTTCTATGAAACCTTGTATATTCAAGCCATATGTAGTTCATCCTGAAGATAATCTGCACTAGTTATTGTGACAATATTGTTTATCAGATTTAAGAAAAGAAATACTTATAATGTTGATATCAAAAGAGGGCAGTATACAGCCTCACTGGTAATGAATTACTCTCTTACACTACACATCAGCTGTGTGAACTATCTTTTGTTTGTGACACTTAAATAACACTAAAACGATATTGAATCCGTTATCATATTCTCGTTGCACTCACATCTTTGATGTTGGGAATGGTAGCGGAGACAGCAAGGAAGCGTAGTCCTGAGCCACTGCTCTGCTCCTGTGTACTGATGGAGGTGTTGGTGCGTTGGTCTGGTAGAGCGGCCTGGACGGTCTTCATCCTACTGATGACGGCCTCTACAGTGGCTCCTCGGGTCTCTTCATTCAGAGAATGAACCTAAGATGAAAATGATAGGGATTATAAAATAATGAGATTAATCATCTATTGAGCTATTGTCACATATAGACACATGGTGTAGTACAACTGGGCCCTGTTTCATGGAAATTTTTATCAAACAAGTTACAATTACTGTTTTAGGCTACTGAAATCCTTGCATTTGATTGGCTGAGAGCATATTTGTCATAACATGTTAGAATTTGTGATTTATAACAAGTTTTATGAAACAGGTTCCTGGTCCAAAAACACTCATATTCCCTGCCATCTATAAAAAGAAATATATGAACAAAACATCTGTGCCTACTGTAATTAATACTATACATAGTTTTTGGAATAGTGTAAGAATATATTACCCTTGATGCCACCATATTGCCATCATTTTCATACTTATGCAATATGACTTTTCTTGGACATCAGTTGTATATTCCCCTAGAATATGTAAAAGATTGACTAATGAATGATTATTAAATTTCTTTTGTTTTGCATTTCATTTTGAGAACCCATTTGATATTCATGTACAGTGATGACATATATCTTAGGTATTATGTTACTGGTATTAATAACAATTGACAAACATATTGGACTATTTTTTTCAATTAAACAAACTACTTACTTCATCAATGAGGAAGAGTTTAACAAGTTGAACCAAAGAATGGTTGTCTCTCCATTTCCTTGTCATGCTATCCCATTTCTCCTGAAAAGTCAATGCATTCCAATTATAAACCAATTAGTGTGGAGTATAGAAATCAATTTGATAGCCAGCTTTTATAAATAGATACCAACTTTTTTCCTTGGGTTTAAAAGAAAAGGCTATCAAACTAAACAAATAAATAAGATAAACATTTCAAGCAAAATGGAGAGATATGCATACAGTTGCAGTGCTGATGCTCATGTGCTGTGTTATCAAGTAGTATTGCTTTAGTAGTAATTCTATGCCATCCATGTACATGGATTTCTTCAAAACAGCTAGATCACTTATTCAAAATAAAATGAAATAACACAGAAATTCAAGAAAATCAAAACATCATCCTCCAAAGAAAAGGAAATTGAAAAGGAAAGAAAGACAAACAGGTGTAGTGAAGATGATATTGACGGCCTGTAACTGGTAGAAGTCTTCAATATCAGTATCTCCTGTCAGCTCCTGGCATTTCAGACCCAGCGGTTCAAACTTCTCCTTCCATTCATCACAGCGCTGGCTGCATAAGACCTTGATAGGAGCCACTGGAGTAAATTGGAGGAGAAAGATGAGAATGAATTTCGCATGAAGAGTGAGAAAAAATTAAAGAGAGAGAGAGAGAGGGAGAAAGAAGGATGAAGAGATAAAGAGTGAATGATCAAAGAGAAAAAGAGAAAGAGTGGGAAGAATAAACAAAGGAGAGGTAAATAAACAACAATGGTACAACTAGAAACTCTGAAATCTTTTAAAATAATCAGATTGAGGAAATGGAATTTGAAACAACAGTAAAGTCATGATGACACTTATCCAACTTATACAGTAACAATGCACAAGGTAATTCATGGAGAAAAAAATTAAATGAAAATGAGAATGATGATTATTGAATGCTCCTGTAACAACATGTATCTACCTTAGAATACAGAAGTATCTGTACCATCCATCATCTTTTACAATTCCTCTGTTACCCATTTTCCCTTCTATTCCCTGTTTTGTTAATGTTGAAATGTTAATGTTCCTTCATTCTTCTCTCTCTCTCTCTCTCTCTCTCTCTCTCTCTCTCTCTCTCTCTCTCTCTCTCTCTCTCTCTCCCTCCCTTCCTTCCACCATTTCTCTTTCATCATTCACCCCTTAATCTTAAAAATTCCATTGCCTGTGCCTACCCAGGCAATGCTGCACTTAAATATACTTTCCAACAACCCATCAATGAACAACAGGAATAAGGTGATAAGGTGTTGAGCTGAAGTTTGATCTTTGGTGACTTACTGTATACTACTTTAGTCCTATTATCATAACCTCCCTGCGAGATCAATAGTCTGAGAATGGCAAGTTCAAACAGAACCGTCTTTCCTGATCCAGTCGGAGCACTTACAACCAGGGGTTTATCCGTATACAGGATCTAAAATCAAGATTTAAATGGAAAGAGACCAAAGGTAAATTGTTTTTACAGAGAGAAAAAAAATCAATAATGATGTTTTCATCTCTATTACTTTTGTTTTTAAAGAAAACAAAAAAGAATTGAAAATAACAGAATTTAGAATTCCCAGTGTAATTATATATAGGGGGAAATTATCAATATATTTCATTATACATATAAAATATATCAAACTAGAGTTTTTGTCACTAGTATTATTTTTCTATTTATAAATGATTATATGAACTTTAGATAAATAGATGGATAACTGGTTTATTAATGAAAAAAATGACATAAATACATTTGTACAAACGTTTAAAATACATTGGGAAATATATATTCAAAAACATATTGCATATATTCAAATTGCATCAAAAATTGATATTATTGTTATTATGATATTACTGTGGAGTAGTAGGATATAAGTTTAAAGTTTACATTTTAAATGTGGTAAGTCATATGGTAAAGAAAGTTTAGTAAAAAAGGTGTAGGAAGATTTTGTTGAATTTCAAGCCAGGATTTTTAAAAATCAAATCTGAAATATCTCAAATTCAAAGCGTACGATTAGAAAATAAACAACGCTTACACAGCAGTTGTTTTTACACGTGATAATTGTTCCAGACTTAATCTAGCTAATTTATATTCTCAAAACGATTACAAGTTTAGAACATTATTCCAAACTACCCATATGTGCCCAATTGCAAAACTGACTTACATCATCCAGCACTTGTGATTGCACAAAGTTGAAGTATGGGAATGGGAAGATTGATCTGTACTGGTCAGCTAAGTGAGTTTGACATCAAGGAAAAAGTATGGAGAAAAGTAAATTATGAATAATTTGATTACTCATAAGAATATGAAAATAGTGACACTATCAATCCTCCAAACCGACCTTTCCCCATCCAGTATCTCATTTTTTGTCATTAGAAATGGAGAGAAGATAGAAACAATTTTCTACCACTCATGTGACCTAAGAAAGGTCAATTGCAAAAGTATTATAAGTAATATCGAAAAAATGTCTCAATTATTGCTCAAAATATTGCTTCATATTCTTAATTAAAGGCTACTTCAACATTTGGGAGGCTATGTTATTTTTTAAGGCTTTCATCCAATATGTCAGCATGTGTCGATAACTCTTTGATTATCAAAAGGATACGTATTTCTTCAATAGAACGCAGACACTTCGCCCCTCTCTTTGTTCCTCCTGGGGTTGATGAGGCTGAGAAATAGAGAGAAAAAAACAACCAAAAAAAATTACTTTTTGTATTCTTTTTAAATGTTAATCATATATTCACTATGAAGACATTGATGTGGAAAGTGTTTTTTTTTTAAATGTAAGATATATTATAGATTTGAAAAAATGTGCATCTCTTTTCAAGTATTTTCGGTGAAATTTTGCACATATAAATTAATTTGACTTCAGCACACACTAAAGTCAATATATTGCCAATTAGTGCAAAACTAGTCATGTTACTGGCCTTTAAAAACTGAAAACACTTCTTTTTAATTAACTGTACCGTAAATCTAAGCATATCAGGAGCTCTTGTAGCGCAGTAGAATATATACCTAATGTTGGATAGTTTCTGCGCTTTATAAATGTACTATTATTATTATTATTAATATGAGCTTCTCAATCAAGTACCTGGAATATGGATGGAAGCTGGGAATTCATCATCTTGACTATGCCTTAGCTGCGGTGGCATCTGCACATGAACTTCTCTAGCTGGCTGGCTCGGGTAAGGTTGCTCATCAAAAGGATGTCCTTTCTCTCGAGGGGCTTGCAGGCTTTGAGAGTCAATGGTGTCATTGAACAAGTCCTCTTGCGATGATAGCTGGCTTTGAACTTGGCTTGGCTGGCTGGCTTGCCTACGTTGCACTGGAGGCACAAACCGAACTCTTGGCCTAGAAAGTAAAGGACATAAAGAGTTAAAGATACTTAATCATAGGAATAAACGATATTAAAATTAAAAATGTCTACATGCCATATTTTGTATTTCAGAGATCAGGATAAATTAAAGCCTGTAGTGAGAAATATATTCAATACCCCATTAGTCATCTTCTCTTTTTTTCCTTCTCTTGTTTAGTAATCAGTTATTAAAATTGAAGTCTTTTGGCTTCTTGAATGAATAATATTAAAAACAAACTCATAGAAATTGATGATTTTGCAACACAGAAAATGTTAATAATGTGCTCATTATTAAAAATTTCATTCAATTGTGTTTATTTAGTGTTTCAGAAAGTATGAACCAACTGAATGATATGCCATGTCGTTGAACTTCCTAAACAGTGACAGAGCTTAATTTCCTTTGATGTAGAAATCTTTCTGCAAGTCCACTGATTTTGATATGAAGTAAGACGTTCTGACATGTGCTACATAATTCTTTTTCAAATTACAAATAATGCAAGAAATGTTAAACCTAATTACAAACCTAAAGATGTATACAGGACATTTTTCTTCTTCTTGAATGAACCTAAATATCTTTAAATAATTGCAAAACAGTTTCCAACATAAAAAATCTTACCTTGGTTGAAGACCTGCAGATCTTGATTTTAAGATTCCATGGCCTGAAAAGACAATTGTGAATAAAAAGGGCAAAAATGAATAAAGTTGTATAAGATATACATGTAATCCCAGTAAAGTCTATAAAGAAGATGACATGCATAGACACAAAAGACTGATCCTTCATTAATTAATCATGTATGCATGTGAATGTAAACAAGAATATCTGAACAAATATTTAAATAAAAAATTTAAAAAACAGTGGATCACTGCTTTTATTTAACTCAATCCTGTTTGAATTCTGCAAAATATGTATGACTGGGCATTCAAGTAACTTTTTCTAGCATCAGGACACATTTCTACGTAGTATAGGCCTGTAAAATCCTTTTTTGCTGACAAAATTATCCCTTACCATAATCGTAAGTTTTGGCCAAAAAGTGGACTAAATGACCAATAACATCGTGAAAAGGGTCAATAAGAACATTTTTGGAATCAGCACAAAATTTTACCCCAGATAAGCAATCAATACCCTCCCCACCAAAAAATTCTTATTAAATCCCCCTACATCCTTGATATAACAATGCCACAGCTGATATTTTTGTTGACTATTCCCCATAATGCATCACATGAAATTGACCAAACACTAGTGTTGCTAGATGGCGCTGTGAATTGTGAATCCATGGTATTAAGATCCACAAGTACTTCTCTTTTTCCATCTAAATTTGGGATAATAAAAAGTAATTTGAATTGACCTTTGCTTGGTGAGTTGCCGAGTGCCTGAGATACTGAAAAGGAGTCCAAGTCATCGGTGAAAACTTGTGACGGCAAAATATCATCTAGCAAGGGTGGAGCTGGGACATCACTCAGATCTGAAAATGGCCTCCTACAACAGAAGTGAAGATTGCATTTGTTTTTTTAGGCTTGAAAATTGTACTCTGTTATTCATGGCCTGTGCGTACAACTACAAACCGGGGGAGGGTGTAGCCCCTCCGCCCCCCCCCCCCACCTCTCATCGGCAATAATTGGGCAAAAAAGTTACAATTTTGGGCAAAAAGGTAAATAAAAGTTAAAAGAAGAAAATAAAGCAGCACTGAAATAATGACTGCAGAGAATCCTTCATCTTTTTTTTGTTGGTAAGCCTTATAATAGACTCTGTAGACTATAGGGCTTACTTAGAATAGATCTTCACTTATTATCAATTACATAAGGCAATACCGTAATCAACCTGGCTGCAGGTCTAACAACATCAGTATAGTAACATGCTTTTGTTTTTATATTTTTACCTGTGACATTATAACCTCTGACATTTTACCTGGCACCATTAGACCCCTAGACTATAAACTATTGAGTATTGATTCCACCCCATCATAATCATAGCGTCTATTTAAAAAAAAAAAATTCTTACCACATCTTTAGACTTTATTTTTTAACCTTGACCTGTCCTTGTCTTCTGTTTTTTGACGCAGTGACAGTGACTTAGACCATTCAAAATCGTTGTATTGTAGCAGTAACTTTTATATGCCTAGAGTCGAGGCTAGACGAGGCCGGCTGGCCAGGGCTGGAGATTTACGTTGTCATGACTAGACCCCTAGTGTCCGAGAATAAGACTTCTTCAATTCATCATGTTCATCGAGAGCTGTGTCGATGGCAATGCCAATGCCAATGGTAATGTCATGGGGATGCGCTGTCACTTGTGTCAATGTCAGTTTAGATTAAGTAAGAAACTTAGATCTAGAAAGGTCTAGATCTACTCTAGTCTTCTAGAGTAAGTCTAGACCCCTGCAGAATCTATCATAGTCACTCATAGTCTGTTCAGCTTATCTTTGGCTTGACTTGGGTCCATCTGGCTTGGCCTTTGCCGCTTCTGCATTTGCATCTAGGTCATGATTTTGATGTTGGCTAGTTCAAAATTCCCTGTGTAGCCTAGACTGTAGAGTGTAGTGTGCCGAAATTGCACGACTCAAAAGTCTCAATATCAAATGGGCACAGCCACAGTACAAACTCAGCCTCAGGCACAGTACAGTAGGCCCCTTACTTAGCCTAGGCTACTGGCCCTAGATCTCTAATTCCACGACCCAATAGTACAGACTTTAGTGAATAAGCTGTAGCTAAGTAAGTGTGATGTGGCCACTGTACTCCTGTAATAAAGTAGAATTTTAGTCGACTATTATAGATCTCGTTCTCGATCTCTAGATCTATAGTTAGCGCTAACTCTATATCATAAGTCGTCTGATATGCGATCAGCTGGTCGCATCATTTGTTTGCAGACGTGATTCGCAGAAAGTTTTGATGATTAGAAGTTTGATCCATTGACATCAGTAGGTGATAAATTCCTACGATCGTTCAAAGAATGTACTACTTCTCTGAAAAGATTATCTATTGGAGGTAACAGAACTCCATATTATAATATAGCAAGCAATTATGTGAGTATTATTATACAAAGTAGAATTTCAAATGATACAGATTTTTGTGAACGTGAACGTTCCTCCTGCCTGAAGACTTTCAATGTTGGTACACCCCTACAGCACTTTTGGATTATGCCGATGCCTGACCGGGGGAATTGAAAACGAAAAGCACAGAAATTATGGAGAATTTCTTTAAAAAGCAAGTATAGTTTAGCCGTAATAGATTAAAATCAAAATCTTATCAGTAGTGTGTGCACACTCATGATGAATAAAGTATGAATTCTCAAAGGAATACGAGAGCTGGACTAGCTTAAAAATGCGGGACTTTGTCAACTCGGTCCCTTGTGCTTATTTCCATGTTATGTTTTGAAAGGGTTGCACGGCGCGGTGCACCGCGGTGATCGTTACGTGAGTGTGTAAAAAACGGTTCGGTTAGATTGTTTGCATTGTATAAGTGCTCATACTAAGGTCACACATCTCATGTCCTTTTAGTTAGCCTGATGGAGTTTGAATACAAAATTAAGATACTATCCATACTAGTCATAGTATAATCCACAGGTACTCCGGTAGTGAGCACGCAAAGCGTGCGAAATCACTGTCTACGTGACTGACTTACAATTACAGAATAACAGAGGTCAGAGCGTGCTCCCTATGGCAGTTGGGGGGGGGGGGGGGTGGTGGGTGCAGGAAGGGGGAGGTTCCCCCTCCCTCGCAAAGCGCAGAAGCTTTGATGTTTGATTAAATTATTAGAGAAAGAAGATGATTTGTTGCACAGTTCTCGCCTCTTATCTTATTAATCCTTGTCTGAATTCAGTTCCCGCGCGAAAGCTTCGACTAGAGTAGACCTAGAGGAGGGGGTTTTCGGCCACTTAAGACAAAATCCTATTTTTTGGACCCTTTACTTCCTATTTATTATCATTTCTTGTTCAAATCATGAAGCAAATATTATTATTATTTAAACAAAAAAAGAATCCCAGAAAAAATATCACAAATTGCCATGACAATATTCATTTCAATTTTCACTGTTTGGAGGCAGTTATCGGCATAGCGAACCAGTTTTCGGCCACATTTACAAAGTCAATAGGAAGCGCGCGCCGTGCGTTTCCGCGCTGATCTATAGCACTAGCGGGCGGAGCAGGTATCCCACGCCGGAGCTCCCCGGAGCTCGCAGGCCGAAAACTAGTACTGCGGTGATCCGAAATTGGAATCTGAATTAGACAGAGATATCGTGTGTGCGTTGCGGTGTCCGGCTGCATTGATTTAATACATGCGGTGAGATACTTTTGAGCTTGCGACTAACACAAAATCGGGCTCTAAATCTGAAAAATACTTTAAATAAAGCTCATTTTATGGTACCCATATTTCTTACAGACATGCGTAAGATACTCAATTTTTCAGATTCGGGTAGTGGGACCGCCGTTTACATCGCTAAAATGTGATATTTTAGGATATATTTTCCATTGCGAATGTGGTTCTTCAGTGACTCTGGCATGGTATGGTATGTGTGGGATAGGTGATATGCTGTTATGCGATGTATTTTAAAGGGATTTTATCATGCATCCAACGGATCGGCCGAAAACTGGTGATGGTTGATTACCCCCCCCCCCCCCCTTTACTCTACGTTTCAATCAATTATTAGAGAAATTAAGAAGACGATTCATTGTCCCGTCCTTGCCTCTAAATTCTTGTCTGAATTCATCCCCCTCCCCCCCCCCCCCCCAGCGCAAAAGTCAGAAGCTTTGACGTTTCATTCAATTATTAGAGAAAGAAGATGATTCGTTTTACCGTTCTCATTCTCGACTCTTAATCCTTGTCTGAATTTTCACCCCCCCCCCCTTTTACTAAGAATAATATAAGGGTATATTTTTTTATAAACCATCAAATGAAAATATCCAGGGGGTACCCATCTCAAAAACAAAACTGATTCATCGGTCATGAAATGAAATACTCACAATTGTATTTTACAAGTAATTCTATGGTTTAATCTACACAAGTTTTGAACTATATCGCTTCTCTTATTCCCTGGTACTACTTTCACTCTTTTTTTATTCCTTATTCATTTGAATAATTACAGTTTTCCACAAAAAAAAAAGTAATATGTTGGAATTGCGACTAAGGCTATGTTTGGCTCCTCTGGCCTCTTCTCGCCGATAGTATCGATTTCACAAGAATGGATATCTAGCTAGTAAGCTCTTCGTGAAACGGTTTAGGAAGATCAGAGACATCTCCGTAGTTGGCAGACAAAGTTATGACTGTCATGTCGTTGGTTTCGAGAAACGGGCACATGGTATTTTTAGATTGAGGGCCCTCTACCCTAGCCTAGACTCTCTCTAATCCTCTATTTTAGTTTTTTCTCACAAAAATTAAATCCCTTTCCCAATTTCCAGAAATTAAGTAAAGGTAAAACAAATTGGCAAAGAAATAATGATTAATGTAAAAATATATAAGATAAAAGAGATAGACGGATATGCATTAGCATGTATGTGTTGCTGCCTGCTGGTATAATAGAACTCCAAGTCAGAAGAGGAAGAAGAGAAAAAGGAAGGAGGAAAAAAAGAGGAAGAGGAGAAGTTCTAAGTAGAGACAACTAGAGTCTACAACTAGACTAGTGACTTGAGCAATTTTCAGATACACCATATTGTTTTCTAGATGAGACTGTGATACATTTGGGCCACACGATGACCGGGGTAATAATATGATTGCAGGGCCCTCAGGGAGAACAGTATGAATACTGATTAGGCTACCCTGGGTAAACATATTATTATTATTATTATTATTACACATGCAGTTTGGCCTGGCAACTTCAGCCTTGAATTTAGGATGCGGTGTAGGGTGATCAAATATTTAACTTCATTATCAATAACAATTCATTGTAGATCTATTATTTTTCAAAATCAAGGTGACTGAGATATTTCATAAACTGATATTTTCTTATTATTTTCATATTAATGAGCTGTGATTATAGATGTAGAATTATCACAATTTTCTTAATTGACATTATTTTTGGTTTAAAAACAAATCTTTATGCAGATAAAATTGTCATGATGCAAGTATGAGACGTTCTGCTGCACCATCCCAACAGGGCCTGGCCCCTAAGAGACCTAGGTTCAACCCTCCATTTCGTTCCAGCAACCCTGTCCCCCTCGGCACTCCACGACCATTACCGAGTCAACAAGTGACCACTTCTAACACTCAAAGATTACCTAGAACTCTACAACCAGCATCAAGTGACAATGATGAATGCTTAGCTACCACCATAGGAATTAAGGAGACATCAAATGATAGAGAACAGGTACAGGCAGCGGTGAACTCTGTACAGCCGGGTGAGGATGGAGAAAAGAATGACCATCAAGCATCAAGAAACCATGGTGAAAATATTCCAGGCAGAACCAGTATTAAACTAAAATCAGAAAATATTTCAGGCAAAGCTAGTGTTATACTAGAATCTGATGCAAAAGACATGGGTGAAAGTCAACCACAAGGTCATACTGAAAATCAGCAGCTTGCTGGAGCAGATGTTAGGGATACAACACAAGAGGTACATAGGTTAACTCATGTTGATGGAGAGGGTTCTGCTGGAACCAGACCCCAACATCTCCAACTCAAGAAGAGCGGGTTGCAGAGGAAACCGTTCATGGTGAAGCAGCTCACACCAACTGTCAAGCCACCAACCGGAGAGGCAGAAGACGATGGACCAAAGCGCCATTATTATAGTGTCATGTGGTAAGGACTGAACTCAGAAATTAACCTTTTGCCCGAGTGCAATTTTTTAACTCATTCAGTATGAGATGCAATTTTTTGCAAAATGCTCATCACTGGTTAGAAATTGTGGGAAGTTTTCTGATTTGATAACATCAAATTTATGTAAAAAATCACTTGGGGGGGGGGGGATCCAAATGACATATCGTATTCTTTTCTGATTTGTTAATGAGTAAGATAAAGCTTGCTTGGTCTGAATAATAGTTAGGCAAGGCTTACAATATGTACTGTAGTACAGTGCACAATTTTAGATTTTGTCAATGTCTTTTGTCCGTCAGTTACAAACATTCTATTGTTACATTATCAATGCCCTGGATGCATATTAGTTTCAGTGTTATAATCTTAATAACAAATAACCTTCTTGTGATCATTATTGCCAAATAGCATTGACAACTGTCTTCAGTGAAGAATGATCTGTATATCTTCCATAATTTTTCACAGTGCCCTCTTGTGCTAAGATCTATGAAGTTGGAAAGCTACATGTAAAAACTTAGTACAAAACTCTAGGGGTGCCCTGTTAACATCCTTTGATTAATTTGCACTGAAATATAAAAAGATAATCGTTGTCTAATTATTATAATAAAAAATAAAGTTTTAACAAAGAGCTAGTCAATTTGGAGATACCATGCCGATGATGATGATTCACAGAATTTATATGGTGCCATATATCTGTTTCTAAAAACATTCAAAGGCGCGAGCTCCTCCAATAAACTTAGCATTTATATCTTAGGCAATGGAGCAAAATCATACTTCAAGCTCTCCTGAAGAGAAATCATTTCAGCTGTGTATTTAATTTCATTATTTTCATTTTTTCGCAGGTGTAAACTCTCAAAGAAAAAACACAAAAAGTGGGAAGGAGATGGTAAGTTTATCAGACAACTTTTTAAATAACCTGATGCAAGTCAATCCGAAGTTTAACAAGTAAAAAGCCAAATTTGTACACATAGTGAAATATAATTCTCAGAGAATGGCAAGAATTTATGTATTACAGCCGGTTTCCTGAAGTAATATTTGTACGTATACTTTCCAAACAGACGTAGAGGTCAATGCGAATTCAAGATTTTAAGTCATGATTGCACAAGAATGGCTTGGGATTTCTGTAGTCATTACAGCTCATGGTACCATTGTATGTAGACTTCTCAAGGTTTAATAAATGCTGTGCCATTGATTAAGAATTTTATTTGGGCTATAAAATGTACTCGTAAATAATACAAGTAATTTGATTCAATATCTGATGTACATTTTGTAATTGATATTTAGAAAACTGCTGGTAACTAAAGTTTAAACTTTCTAATTTTCAAGTAGTCTCATCGTAATTCAATGTCCTTATTTATGTAATATTTAAGAAAGAAAACAAATTTGTATCTTTATTTTTTGCATATATATCTTCATCCTCTTGTCTTTTTCTGTTTCTTATCTCATTTCTCAGCTCTTCTGATTACTAAAGGCAGATCTGTGACCCTACTCAATGTAGAAGGGAAAGAGTAAGTTCCCCAACAAGATTCAACATACTGCAGGAATTTTCCAAGCTAGGGCTATATTGATAAGTTTTAATTTTTTTTAAATTGAGAATTCTGGTATTTTACTTGGATTGCTACATTTTGCTAACAATATGACATGTATCTGGAAAGTTATACTCGGAGAGGAGATATAGCAAAAACTTTAATTGCCAGATTTGTATTATGTTAGAGAAATAGTTATTCAAAACTTTTCAACATGTTGCCAGTTTTAGGATGTTGGGATGTTGAGCCAGGCTTCATGTACATAACATGGGCAATTGTCCTGTATACTTTCAGCTACCCAAAATCTCAGTGTATAAGACACACCCCTATTTCGGGGGCCGACTCTGTATTAAGCAGCAAGCCAGGTCCATGTTCGAAAACCCAAGCGGGAAAGACCTTTATTTTACTGCCAGGTGCAGTTGAAGGTGCTGATTTGTGCTTGTGAACTTGCCACAAATAATAGTAACAATGTCATTTTTTAAAACTAAAGATAACAGACAAATTTTCCTTTAAGTCTATACAGAAATCCGGCCAAACAGGTAGTGTTCTAGTTTCCAAGTGGTGTTCACACACCTTGTATGACTGAGCTGGGTGACATTGCCAGGCACAGTGCAGGTGGAGGGGCATAAATCAACACTTGTTTTTTTAAACCTGTGTATAAGATGCACCCCCAACCTTCAATTTTTTTTTCGGGAGAAAAAAAGTGCGTCTTATACACAGAGATTTATGGTACATTTATAGTACTGTTGTTTTCATGATTGCTTCACTCTTAGCAACTCGTAAGCTTGTCAGAAGCTTGGCTAACATAGGACATGTTTATTTGTTGTGCCTAATGTAAGGTATGGTATTTAGAATCACATGAAAATTTCAACAGTAGAACATATGGTTAGTTTTAGACAAATTGTGGTGAATTGTTTATCAAGCATTTAGTTGGCATTTCATGATGCTGGTACCTGTAGTATTTTAGAGAATGCATGAAAAAAGGGAATCCACCTGCAGAGGAGAGATGCATGTATGGACACATGTACAACTTGATAACAGCTAGGAGGCAAAGCATGTGATTACAAGTCATTAAAAACCACAAGTGTATTGAATTGCAGACCTTCAAGGTACATTGTCCTGAGAAAAAAATGTCATAGAAAGTTATACATGTACATTGTACATCACCAGCTCTTAATGATGTCCTGGAGATAGATATACAAACAGTAAATCCTTTTAGGGGTACTACTCAAATGTTGTCCCCTGGGGGGCGTTTCATGAAACAATTAGTCGGTAGTTTTCACCGACTATTTTCCAGGCCTCTGATTGGTCAAATTTAGTCTAAATTGACTAAATTGTTGGTGAAATTAATATTAGTCTGTAAAAACCACCAACTAATTGTTTCATGAATATCAACGGCTCTGAATGATGTTCTGGAGATATACAAACATTAAATCCTTTTAGGGGTACTACTCAAATATTGGGGGCGTTTCATGAAACAATTAGTAGGTGGTTTTCACCGACTAATATCATTTTCACCGACAATTCTATTGTCACCGACTATTTTCCAGGCCTCTGATTGGTCAAATTTAGTCAGTGCTGACTAAATTGTCGGTGAAAATGATATTAGTCTGTAAAAACCACCGACTAATTGTTTCATGAAACGCCCCCTGATTTATTAAATTTGAATTTGAATGATAATTAAAATTAATCTGCATATTCAAATATTATTCAATTTAAAAAAAAACAAAAAAAACCGACTGTTAAACCGACTGTTAAAAGGAATCACTTCCAAACTCCAGACATGTTGTAATGAAATAGAATGAATGCTGGTAGTTGCTTTTATTATTGACAATTAAAACATTTGCTGCCTTCCACCTTGAGCGAGAGTCAAATTGCAGGAGCTCATATTAACTGTATGAACATGAAGCTGAGAAAGAATTTCATGGAATGATGCATGAATGACCTCAGACTGCACGTACCAATGATAAACTCCTGTATCAAATGTTCATAGTTATGATACAAGATACAATAATTTAAACATTATTCCCATGTCAAAAAATTAGTTAATCATTATCGAGAATTGAGTCCTTAAAGAATCCAGTAACTGATATGAGTTTTTCTTAATAGGGGAGGGGGTTAGGGGATATCAAGTTTGATTATATTACTCCTTATTCCTTCACTAATTTCATTATTTCAAGCATTTTCATTAAAGTAATGAAATAGAATACCGGTATGCACCACCATCAATTACTATATTCTTAGGACCCCATTGGAAATAAACTGTTGACATGTTGAGGCATATTACTTTTTATGTATTTTGAGGTATATTCCTTTCAATGTTGCCTCAAATCAGCATTTCATAATTGATAATGTTTACAAAACTTTATACAATTTCTTCATTTTGTTCATAGGATTGGTAAAGGCAGTGGATACAGACCATCTGAGCTAGATAGTATGGAGGAAGGCCATACACTGTGTGTAGGCGGCAAGGAAATTGAGGTAAGATACAAGCCTAATCTCGGCTTTGTGGGAGAGAAGAATTTATCTGTTTGGAGCCAGAAGGTCTTTGCTAATATATACTTCAAGTCTTCAACACAGAGATAATGCCCTTCTGGCTTTAAACAGACAAATCGTCTGTTGATGCTATCGTGAGATTGATGTAATGCTACGGTAACAAAGGTTCGTACGAACGATAATTTCGTACAAATCTCCCTGTTTTTCCATTGTCTTTCCGAGTTTCCATTGTCTGAAAATCGTTTGTACGGCGTTCGTAATGGCATCTGTGACAGAGGCTTTATTGTGAGTATTGTGATAGTTTGAAGGAACAAACACTTCGCAGTCCTAGTTGAGAACAGAGTGTCTGAGCTAAGAGACTATGTCAACTGCTTGATTTAATGCACCCTGTAGGCTCTGTACTTACGCAGCTCCAGAGACTGACAGAGCTAGGCTCTGCTCAAGAATTTATGGTATTGTGTTTAAGCGTCAAATTTGAGTCTGTGCCATTAGACTAGTGTTATATCAGGGTTTATAAGGAGGTATTATTTGTGTGCTTTATTTAGACTTTTCTACACATGAATATTCCAAAACCTCTATTTCCTGAATAGATTATCAGTTAAATCGTGTGGGCATGTATTAATGTTTTATATCTTATTGTTTCCAAGACCTAGGGAAGGCTTGAGTTTATATTAAATGCTTTGTGAATCTTATTGAGGAAATCTGTTTTTCTTTCTTTTTGGTCAGGGAGTGGGTGGGAAGGGAGGAGGAAGGCGGTTACAAATGGATCAGTGACAATCCTGTAGATATTTCAGGGAGATCTCATTTTAATGAATAGTTAAAAGGGAGAATAGTATATTAATCCAAGGTCATGGAAATGTGTGTTGTTTGTTTTTAATTCTGCCTAATTGCCTAGAGTTAAAGAAGATTTTAACAATGTAGGTGTTTTGCAAAGTAGCTGACCAATGATAACCATGATGTGAGATGGGTATTTTAGAAATCTCACTAAATAATTTTGTATTTGTTTTTATCCTATTCCAAAACCAATTTTGTACGCAAAATACTTGTAAGATGTGACAGTAGTCATATTTTCAGGGGCATGAAAATGGTTGTGCTTTGTTTGTTTCATCCAAAAACATGTTTGTTTGTTTTTTTCTTCGAAGTAGCTGAATAATCTCACTTTAGAGTTGTTTTGGGGTATTTCAAGAGATGCCATTTTATTTGTCTTTCTAAATATAAGAGTTCTTGCAATCATTTTTGGTCATGAAAACCGCTGTATTTGTCATTAATTCTTCCATGAAAATCCCCCTGCCTAACTTTTTTTATTTTTCTATTCTATTCTTTTTTGGAGTAGTAGTTCAGTGGTAATTTTCTGTCACAATCAAATGACATTTGAAAAGATCTCACTGCAGTTCTTAATTTTTTTTTAGGGTTTTGTAAATATACACTGTTGTGGGAGTTGAAATGCGACTTGGAAATGCAATGTAAAATAGGAAACTTTCTGGATGGAGTTACATGTATCAGTGATTCTTTCCCTTGGTTCCTCTCTTGTTTCAATGTTTGGGGTTACAGATAGGTTTTTCATATCTTTAGTTAACCTTACCTACATGTATGACAAATTACAAAAGAAAAAGAAGTTTCATTTGCCCCTCACATCTCATGATAAAGAACAGGTCATGCAGGTAATACCAGACTGTATCAGGTGTCTACCAGACTAAAAAATAACTGTAAACATGTTTTGTTATCTGGTGTACACCTGTAGGTAGACTCTTGGAAGGACATGAGTAGTTAGGAAGTAAGTAGTCTACCAACTCCAGACTTGGTATTGTAAAGGTGTAGTTTCATTGAGAATGAGAAGATCCCTCTGCAATTTGAGTGAGCTATAGTCTCAGGCCTGGCTTGGATTATATGCCCCAGGGAGCGGAGCATGTGTACTATCATTTGCGGATTAGCAATTAAATCCAATGATAGGGGTAATAATAATAATGTTAAGTGCTTACAAACAAAGTTGTTAAGTGCTATACTAATATGACTATCATTATTAGTATAATTTTACCTGGGCCTGTATTCCATAAACTTTGCTTCAGCTATAGAGCTTAATTTTTGGGATGTGTATCCACTTAACTTAAAACCAACCAAGAAAAAGGGGAAAGAAAAAAGGATAATAAAATACATGGATGTGGTGAGCGATGTACATGTACATTGTAGCTCTGAAATAGCTCTAATAATCTTGAAAGGAGTTCTGGAGAAAAAAAACCTGGAAGGATTCATAATAAATGCCAAATGGGAATTTAGTTTTAACACAAGAAACCCTGGAAGAGTTCCAGCAAACACTGCCACAATGCCATCTACACATGATTTGAAGAGAGATAAAACCTTCTTAATTCTGCTTTAGTTTATGGAGTGATTGCCATAGTCTGCCCTTTTTCTTCACGTGTCTTCTCAGTATCATAATATTTTCATCACTCATCACTCAATGAGGCCTTACATGTACATGTATCACACACAAACTTTAATTATTCAAAATCTTTAATTTATTTGTTCATATTTATACAGACATGTACAATTCTTTCAATTTTTTAAGAAAGTTTATCACTCTCATGTATACTACACCGGTCCATTGCATGATACAGGACTTACTAAATTTATTCTCCTCAATGTGGGACATATCAAATTTAGCCACTTTACAACAAGTTTGGCAACATCCAAACATAGATCCATGATTCACTCTAACCATTACCGGAAGAAATTAATGTATGGGTGAATAATACAAGACAGAAACACAATGAGAAAGTAGAAGGTGTAGGAGCAGTAACAGAAGCACTGTTGCCAAATTCAAGTCTATACTTGGCCTAGCAGAAGGACAGAGAGTCAAGCAAAAAAAAATTCTTAAGAATAAGAGAAAGCAAAATGTAATTGTTCATGAGTCGTATTCCATTTTTACATTGATGGAAATAAAAGTCTGTTGCCAGGCACCTTCTCAATATAAACTGGAGAGTGAATTTGTGTGCAGTGGCAATGTTGTCGTTATAAATTCTTATAAATCAATAGTTGCATTCAAAGTCTTACGAAATGAGCCTGATTAACCTTTACCATCGATGAAATATACTTTATTCATATAATTTGTGGCTTAAGATGTAGTTAATTCTATCAGACTTATGACCAATGTACTTTCTAAAAAGCATCATAAACTTCTGCAGACTGCAGAAGTTCAGTGTCGTAATTCGTATATTTCATAACATGAAATTTCATTAATTTAGACCATTAATTGTAAAGAGAATATCTGGCATGAAGTATCACTCAAAATGTTATCTCCAGCCATAATTTTTAACAAAGTATAAACCATGTTGGGCCTGCAAAGATAAGTATCGATGATGCAGTCGATGCAGTCATTGCAATGCATTTTAAATGCATGCTGATTTCCTGAAATGTTGTACCAGTACATAAATTTCGTTCACTGTAGGAAGCACATTGATGTTTATAAACTTTAATTTACCCTTATGACAATACTGAAAATCAATTTATCAGATATATTTACTTTCTCTGTATGCATCTTCATTATCATCAAATATTCTCCTTATTCAGGTAAAGACAATAAATGTCCAATGTACATGGTTTCTTCAGCACAAGACTGACGTAAGAAATCTACTGACAACCCTTTGTGTGCTTAATTAATCCGTATCCGGAAAACTACCCCTGGACAACCACCCCCGGATAACCACCCCCGGATAACCACCCTCTATGACAACTACCTCCTAGGACAACTACCTCCTAGGACAACTCCCCCCGCCCTCCCCCGGACAACTACCCCTAGGATAGTTGTTCTATAGGATGGTTGTCGTGGGGGTAGTTGTCCAGGGGTAGTTGTCCTAGAGGGTGGTCATCTTGGGGGTAGTTGTCTGGGGGGCAGTCATCCTAGAGGGTGGTTGCCCTAGGGGGTAGTTGTCCTAGAGGGTGGTTATCCTAGGGGTGGTTGTCCAGGGGGTAGGTGTCCTAGAACCGCTTTGATATACTAATGTATAACCTTGGACTGCAGCCTTCGAGTTCTGTCACACATGCAGTATATGGAAGGTGTACAAGCAGTGGCAGATACGTGAGGGTTTCAGTCAGCAGTGAATGAAGATTTAATACACAGAGCATTCATTTTCTTCAACCCACAATGTGAGAATATCATTGTGTGAGTTTAACTACCGGTAGCAGAAAGATATGACTCTGATCTCTTCTTCCTGGATGAGTTATGTGAATTCCAAGTATCGCTGGTCAGGTTGACCGGTCTATCTGATGGTATTCCTGAAGCTGGCACATGAGGCTCTGGACTCTGTTTCAAGAGAAGTCTCAGGAACCTTGATGGCAAAGGTATCTTGGTCAGATTGCACGTGATGATGCATTTGAAGACCACTCGAAAATGCGGGTGCTTTAATCCGTAGATGATGACATTGGCACAACTGTTCATCACCAGGATAAGAGCAAGGTACAGAGACGCGTGACGAGCTAGTATGTTGGATTCAGATATGGCTATGAGACATAAGCTGTAGGGTACAACACAAACCATGTAGGCACAGACAACATAGAAGAGGTTCTTTGTAATCTTGATGCTCACACGAACCTTCTTATCGATGCGGTTGGACGAAAGGTTACTGGAGTGACGCTGGAGAGATAAGGAGTGCTTCTTGAGGTGAAGGTATATGAGAGAGTAGCAGATTAGAATAATAGAGTAGGAGATGACTCCAATCATGGCTGCTACGATCTGATAAACCTTCGCTAGATAATGCGCAAAGTCCCAGGCACAGAGGTGAGTGAACTTGTCGTATCCGAGTTGACCATACCCTGCAGCCTGGGGGATGATGAGCACGCAGATTGGAAGAAGCCAGGAGAAGAGAACCATGAGGAAGATGTTCTGGCCTCGGTAGATGGATTCATAGACCTTGCGGGACTTGGTGATTAAGCAATGTCTATTAATAGAGATCATGGCGAGGGTGATTACGCTACTTGTTATGGAGATCACGATGGTTGATCCGGCCATCTCGCATACCTGATCGGTTAGGGGCCAGCCATGCTCGGCCAGGAGACCAACCACCTGCAGAGGCTGCATAGTGGATACCAACAGGTCTGCAAAGCCAAGGCTTAGCACAAAGGCATTGGTGGGATTCTGAAGCTTGCGGGAGAACGCGATTGCAGTGATGACCAGCACGTTGCCGAAGGTTCCAAATGATGCTACCACTATGTAGAAACATGCCACAACCAGTCTTTCACGAAATGGCACTACTTCCAGATCGGTGCTGTTGTGAGAGATGTTCATGATGAGTTTGCCTGCATGAAAAGAAACCAAAAGACATTGATTTAATAAAGTTATTTTTGGAAACCTATTTTATTCATTTCAATGACATACTGTACATGTACAGTGTACATGTACTGCAATGTATACAGGATGTATGACACATGTTGGCTACTTTGTAAAACCTGATTTGATAGATTGAGCTCACATTTTGCAGAACAATGTCTTAGAAAGTATATGGGCCTCCAATTTTAGCCCCCCCCCCCCCTAGTCATTTTGCCCTCTTTCTCACTCACTCTCTCTCTCTCCTCACATTTCCCCTCACCCTCATTTATTCTCTATCTTTTTCTCCTTATGTCATGTCTCTTAGGTCTTTCCTTTTCTCTCCCCTCTCTTTATCCAATATCAACATTGAAATCTACTTCTTTCTTAGACCAGGTTTAATTCTTAGAAGAATTTTTTAAATCAAACTACACTGTATGTTAATTAATAAGTCGCCAGACATTCCTACTCACCCTTTAGTCAATTCATCACCAATCATACATTGGACACCAATCAAACATTGAACGGTATCAGAAAATGTTTCCTGAATACTGAAAGTACCGAATAAACTTTAGTTGCAAGACAAAAATCAAAGCCTGGCACCATTTTCTGAGACAAATAAACTTCCTGACGAATGCAATCAGTCATATCTTTGTGCTAACTGAACGCAAACTGAATGGTGATGAACCTCTCTCCAAAATGGAAAGGAACTGGTACTTGATAGTCAGTGGTCAAACTTGATGTCACACTTTCCTACTCATGAATGATCCCTGGATTGATAGCGGTGTCCTTGGCATATCCTTTACCTACGTGTCATTAAATTTGAGTAGGAAAACAGTCTGACCACTCACCCCCTTTCAGACTGAAGGAATTCATTATATTGCTATACAAGAATCCTATAGCTATATGAAAAGTAATTGCTTTTTTTTTCTAGTCTGAATCTGAAAGTCGTATAAAAAACGTACAGTGAAAAGCATACCAAAACTTGATAAGCATCAGGGTTTTGTTCTAGCCTGAATAATATGTACTACGTAAACTGTGTAAATGACCAGAGCAGGGCTTATCGGGAACCTGCACTGATGATTGGCTAGCTGTCGTGTCAACTGACCTCTTCATACAATGTTTCTTTATACAAGTTTCATATAAATTTTCTCTTGTCTGAACAAGCCATAATATGCCCGGATGACAAGAACTTCTGCTGGCAGGCAGCCAGCCGCGTACAGTAGTGTACGTGTCTGGTGTTTTGATGAATCAATTAGTTCCGCCCATGTGGACAAAAGTATATTTTTTAACGAAAAAAATGTGAACCTTGCATCAAAGGATATTTGCAAGGATCCAGGTACTGTAAAAGTAGAAATATTTACGGTACATTAATTTTCGCAGATTTCACGCTAAGATCGGCAAGCCCGAATTTTAGATCTCGCCAGAATATAAGCATGACTTCTTATGTGTGATTTGAACGGGCTGAATTGCTTGCAACGTGAATTTAAGAACCGGTGAATATGTTTTGGGGTCGCTCAGCGCACAAGATTAATCACGCAAAAATAACAGCGTTTACAGTAGTTGGCCTAGAAGACTCTCAAATTTAAAATATAATCTGACACTTACTTTGGCACATTTATCTGGGCTTTATTTATTTCAGCTATGATAGAAGTTGGTGGGTTGAGTTGTAATTGGTTTTGATAATGATAATAATAATATATGATTGATTCTTATTAGGCACTTTTACAGAATACTGATCAGAGCACTGATACAAACAACAAAAATGCATTTAGAACAATGGCATATATACATACCGGCACTTAGCAGTAAACATAATATTTATAAAAAAGATAAGGACATAATAATAGCAATGCAGAGATGCCCTGTTGAGAGCAAGAGAGGTGTTAATATAATTAATAGAATCACAGAGGCAAAGCTCGCTCTGCATTTCTCCAAGCTACCTCATGTAAAGAGTACTTACCAAGAACACAGCAGTGAACCAAGAGATTCTGCTACACTGCAACTGCTATCTATCCTTGTGTTTGGTACAAGTAAGCCAGGAGATACTACGAAAATAACTTCTTGGTACAACTAACTCAAGTCTCTAGAAGTTCTCTAGTAGTTAAACTTCTTGTCCATGAATAATACAAATAATCAAATTCGTTTGATCTGTTGTAAGAGTCTAAGAGCTCCATTTCTCAAACTGCACCTGGGAAAGCGCCATCTTGTTCTTATTAAAGCTGAAAGCTAACTGTCTTCTTCGTCATTGTTAGATGAGTCAAGCTTTCCTTCAGACAAGTAATGTTTCACCCAAAACCAGAAGATGGCAAGATAAGATCACTGGAACTCTGTTATCTTTACATGTTCACTTTATATTGCAGTAGCTCTGCATGCCTTGAGAATGGTGTGTTCAATCAAGGAGTTATTACAGAGCCTCCTGATCAGGATGTCTCAACCTCTGGTTTTCAGTGTCACCTTAGATCATGAGTTCTTGATAAGAGAGTCGACAAACTTTTCTTTCTATCTTACTTGAAAACTGCTCCTCGATGTTCCCTCCTATACAATGTACTCGGTAGTGCCAAGTCTGGTACAGTTGCACATGTACATCAAATAAATGTGGAGGGGTATAATCAAGGTTGATTGTTGATATTTTCTTTGTTTCTTTGCTGGGATAAGACTCTCAAATTATGAGATTCCCAGGTATTTGTTCAGGGCTGAGAATAGGGTGTCTCAAAAAGTGGAAAACTGTTGTGATTAAGATGATTTAATTGATAGTCTGAGAATGCATCATACACAGTATGACCCATGTCTTTGCATATATTTTCCAGTTTTTTACTTTTTTGAACTTTGAGATAATTTGCTCATATGTTATGAATGATAAAGTTTTTTCACTTTGATAAAATTTGGTAGAGCACATTTTCTTGAGACTCTAGTCTGAGGTATCTTGGGACTTGGTGTTAGCAAATTTCATACCCACCTTATCCATGGAGAAAGATTGTTTACTGTTGCCATATATTCAAAATGATATGAATCATGATGTACAATGTCTAAGCAGGCAGGGTCATAATGTTCAGATACCGCTCTCTCCTAAAACTAAGACATGAACTACATGTGAGTCATGTCTGAGTAATATCAACATGTTTTTCCTTTTAGCAATGCATTATGTTCAGTTTTCCCAAGCAAATCACAGTCTCATATTTTGTGAGAGATTTTTTTCAGGTAAAGTTTGCAAACTATATATGGACAAATCTTATCCCACCATCCCCAGCTACTCCAACAAATAGTTTAAACATTTTCACTAGTTTGATTAATATATCTTCTCTACAAAGACTACAAATCTCCTCTATGATTACTTTTGATATTATAAGTAGACATTTAAACAAATTCTTTATATTACTTCATGAGATTATGGCGAAATATATATAGAGCAAGAACCCTCTTTTGGCTCTTAGTAGACAGATTTGATTGCAAAGGAGATAATATAAGCTCTTCTTTGTGTACAGAATCATCGGAAAGAAGAATTACAATCATCTGATTTTTGTTTCGCCTGCGTAGCAAAAAAAGCGAGACATACTGTAGGCGCCGCTTTTCCGGTGACGGCGGAGACGGCAGCAGCGTCAACATCAAAAACTTAACCTAAGGTTAAGTTTTTGAATTTTTGATATAATTTTGAAAGTATAAGTTCTTAGTCAATGAAACTTGGACTATAGGGTTATCAAGTATCCCCAATCATGCGAGTAGAATTTCAGGTCACAAAGTCAAGGTCAAAGGTGATTTCAGGTCAACAGACTTGGACTATGTTGTGGCATCATCATCGAAAACTTAACCTAAGGTTAAGTTTTTGAATTTTTGATATAATTTTGAATGTTTAAGTTCTTAGTCAATGAAACTTAGAATATAGGGTTATCAAGTATCCCCAATCATGTGAGTAGTATTTCAGGTCACTAAGTTAAGGTCAAAGGTCATTTTAGGTCACCAAACTTAGACTTTGTTGTGGCATCAACATCAAGATTTTGAATTTTTAGCATATTTTCAATTGTTTAAATGCCATGAAACTTGTACTCAAGGGTTATCAAGTATCACAAATCATATGACACAAATTCCAGGTCACAAGGTCAAAGGTCAGTAGACTTGGATTATGTTTTCAAAACTTAATATGAGAATTAATAATTTGTTTAAATTAATTTGTTCATATTTCATTCAAGTTATCGATCGTGGTACATTTAATAGTAAATAATTCTTCTGATGATTCTTAGTCATATTCACTTCAAAATGTGATTATATTTAGAGGATTTCAGTATTTGGGGCCTGCTAATGGGCCACCCTGCCTATGAATAATGTTCCAACCTCAATTTTTCATCATATCGAATTGCATAATGCATTAAAAGAGCCTCTGTATAATTGAAAATTTGTTTTAGAAATTTATCAGGACGCACACACAGTGTGCCAATGTATATGGACCAACTTGTCGTTTTGGTATATGAAGAGCTCAGATCCAAAAGGTACTACATGATTTTGTTTTTCTTTTTTAGTTTGTGTGCATTAATGTACACATTTCCAGTAGCCTGTATACACTTTAATAGTAAATAATTTTAATGGGCCACCCACCCTGCCTATAAATGATGTCCCAACCTCAATTTTTCATCATATTAAATTGCATAATGCAGGCGAGACCGCCGAGAGCATTTCCCTTTTTATTTTTATGTGACACCTTGTATTTCAGAGGATCATCCTGGGGATTATATAACGTATATTTCTATACTTCCTGGGTTTGTATGAGATCCACTACCAGATTAAAAAGCTATCTTGGCTAAACATCAAGGACATAAGGATGATTGTTGCCTTTTCCTGGATAACATGTTCCTTGATTTTGGGTATCCTTGTACAACATATTTCTTTTGTGTTGGAAAGCAAATTAACTGAATTGGCCAATTACTATTC